GCCATTTTGACATCCGGGTAGCTGGACACTGACTCCACGTGTCTTCCGTTAGCATCTCACAGATGTTTAAACCCTGCCTTCTGAATCACGTGGTAAGCGTTACGGCTTGACAAAAAGGACACATCACACAGATCATTTACAACGCCTCTACTCTGTCATGCGTCAAAAGATAATGCAGTATGGCATTCAAGTTTACTCAGTACACACTTCCATCAGAATCAGTGCAGTCTTATGTCTTGAACACTTCTACCTCATTCATGGTCCGAATACACCGCCTGAAAATGACTCCTGTCAATATTTTCCCATAAAGCATTGCAGCCAACAGAAGCCGCCGCACCTCAATGTATATATAGTGCGCCGTCTACTGGGAAACGCCGGAAATGCAGGAAAAATAAAACATTAACAAGGTTTATTATTATTATTTATTCAAGTTCGGTGGGCCGGATTAAAAGGTTTAAAGGGCCGCATATGGCCCCCGGGCCGTAGTTTGCCCATCCCTGATCTAACTGTTTACTTCCTGCTTCCTTCCCGTGAGAATCAGATCTGGGCACTTTTTTCTTCTAGAGCTGTGGTTTTCCATAAGTGACGCCCACCTCCACTGAGGGGAGCCAAAGAGCCACTGGGGAGTCTTGACACACGTGGACTAAACCAGGACTGATTCCAGGACTGAGCCAGGAGGACTAAACCAGGACGGAACTAGGAATAAAAAAGGACTAAAAACAGGACTGAACCAGGACTGAGTGTCGGGTGACCACAGGAGAAAGGACCGGCACAGAGCTCCACACCCCATGCGGCGAAGCGCAGCCATCACCCGGTTGCATTGTGTTGACACCCTGTTCCACGGGCTGGTTCATTCCTGATTTAGACCTGGTTTAGAACTGGTTTAGACCTGGTTCAGTGTTGATTTAGATGTGTTTTTATTCTAGTTTAGACCTGGTTCAGTTCTGGTTTAGAGTTAGTTTAGACCTGTTTTAGTCCTGGTCTAGTCCAGGTTTAGACCTAGTTTAGACCTGGTTTAGTCCTGGTCTAGTCCGGGTTTAGACCTAGTTTAGTCCTGGTTTAGACCTGATTTAGACCTGGTTTAGTCTTGATTTAGATGTGTTTTTTTCCTAGTTTAGACCTGGTTTAGTCCTGATTTAGTTCTGGTTTAGACCTGGTATATACTTGGTTTAGTCCTGGTTTAGACTTGGTTTAGTCCTGGTTTAGACCTAGTTTAGACCTGGTTTAGTTCTGGTTTAGACCTGGTTTAGTCCTGGTTTAGTCCTGGTTTAGTTCTGGTTTAGTCCTGGCTTAGTTCTGGTTTAGTCCTGGCTTAGTCCTACTAAAGTGGTGCAGTGATGTTTAAAGTCGCCTGCATGAAGTTGGAAATTATTTGAATTATTTAAATTTGTTGTTGCAAAAATCTTTTATGAATGCACTTTTCAGCTGTTCTTGAAACTCATAACTGCAGGACTAAACCAGGATAAAACCAGGACTAAACCAGGACTAAACCAGGACAAAACCAGGATTAAACCAGGTCAAAACCAGGACTAAATCAGGTCTAAACTAGGTCTAAACCAGGACTAAAGCAGGACTAAACCAGAACTGAACCAGGTCTAAAAAAAAAAAAAAAAAAGACATCTAAATCAACACTAAACCAGGTCTAAACCAGGACTAAACTGAGACTCGAAAAGCAGGACAAAACCAACTACCGACTAAAACAACTAAACATGACAAACCAGGAATAAATCAGGACTAAAAAGGACAAGGTCTGAAGCAGGTTTTGAGCATCAGCAGTGTTGGGAAGGTGACGTTTAAAATGTATTCCCCTACAGATTACAGATTACATACACCAGAATGTAGTTTGTAACGTAATCCATTAAATTACTTAAAGTGAGTAATGTAATCTGAATACTTTGGATTACTTGATTTGCTGTAGAGAAACAAAGACGAGGAAATCGTAACATAAGATGTTTTATCTGTTAAAAGAAAATGAAAAGCCCAGACTTTACTGAACCAAATTAAAAATATTATTGATAAAAGACGAGGAAACACGTCCTGTTAAATCCTGTTTAAGACATAGTTTAGACCTGGTTTAGTCCTGGTTTAGACCTGGTTTAGTCCTGGTTTAGTCTTGGTTTAGTCTTGGTTTAGTCCTGGTTTAGTCTTGGTTTAGTCCTGGTTTAGTATTGGTTTAATCCTGGTTTAGTCCTGGTTTAGTCTTGGTTTAGTCCTGGTTTAGACTTGGTTTAGATCTGGTTTAGAACTGGTTTAGTCCTAGTTTAGACCTGGTTTTAGATCTGGTTTAGTCCTGGTTTAGTCCTAGTTTAGACCTGGTTTTAGACCTGGTTTAGACCTGGTTTAGTCCTAGTTTAGACCTGGTTTTAGACCTGGTTTATTCCTGGTTTAGTCCTAGTTTATACCTGGTTTTAGACCTGGTTTAGACCTGGTTTTAGACCTGGTTTAGACCTGGTTTAGACCTGGTTTAGACCTGGTTTTAGACCTGGTTTTAGACCTGGGTTTAGACCTGGTTTTAGACCTGGGTTTAGACCTGGGTTTAGACCTGGGTTTAGACCTGGTTTTAGACCTGGGTTTAGACCTGGTTTAGTGTCTGGCAATGAGTGGAATTACGAATTAAAAAAATTTAAAAAAAGAAAGAAAAAAAGGGATATAGCCCAAAATGTCAAAACAGGAAAACACCTCTGTGTAATCCATTTATTTCAACAAAGTAACTGTAATCCAATTACCACTCACTGAAACTGTAACTGTAACTGAATACAGTTACTCATACTTTGTACTCTGATTACGTAACTCCGGTTCATGTAATCTGTTACTCCCCAACACGGAGCATCAGCGTAAACATTCATCCATTTGTGATACTTGACTGCCATCTGGAGACAAATAAAGGAACTGCAGTTTTACGTCCTGATCATTTAACATCAATTTTCTGTCTGTAAATACTTCAGGGATTTGTGACAGATTTACTCCAATACAGAAACTAAACCAGGACTAAACTGAGACTACACTAGGACTAAACCAGGACTAAACCAGGACTAAACCGAGACTACACTAGGACTAAACCAGGACTACACTAGGACTAAACCAGGACTAAACTAGGACTAAACCAGGACTAAACTAGGACTACACTAGGACTAAACCAAGATTAAACCAGGACTACACCAGGACTAAACCAAGAATGGACTAGGACTAAACTAGGACTAAACCAGGATTAAACCAGGACCAAACCCGGATCAAACTGGAACTAAACCAGGACTACACTAGGACTAAACCAGGACTACACCAGGACTAAACCAGGACTAACCAAGACTAAACCAGGACTAAACCAGGACTAAACCAGGACTACACCAGGACTAAACCGAGACTACACTAGGACTAAACCAGGACTACACTAGGACTAAACTAGGACTAAACCAGGACTAAACCGAGACTACACTAGGACTAAACCAGGACTAAACTGAGACTACACTAGGACTAAACCAGGACTATACTAGGACTAAATCAGGACTAAACCGAGACTACACTAGGACTAAACCAGGACTAAACTAGGACTAAACCAGGACTAAACTAGGACTAAACCAGGACTAAACTGGGACTAAACCAGAACTAAGATGAGACTACACTAGGACTAAACCAGGACTAAACCAAGAAAAATTACTTATCTCAATTTGGAGAAGACCATTTTTACAGACGGTGGGAGGGCATCTGACACGCAGCTCCTTTGATTTGTGGAGTGTTAGCGCCCCCAACTGCCCAAAGCACAGAACTGCAGCTGTCTAATCTCAAACCAGGACTACGGCAGAACTAAACCAAGACTAAACCAAGACTAAACCAGGACTAAACCAAGACTAAACCAAGACTAAACCAAGACTAAACCAGGACTAAACCAAGACTAAACCAGCACTAAACCAGGACTAAACCAGGACTACACTAGGACAAAACCGAGACTGGACTAGGACTAAAACAGGACTACACTAGGACTAAACCAGGATTAAACCAGGACCAAACCGGGATCAAACTGGGACTAAACCAGGACTAAACCGAGACTACACTAGGACTAAACCAGGACTAAACCGAGACTACACTAGGACTAAACCAGAACTAAACCAGGACTAAACTAGGACTACACTAGGACCAAACCAGGACTAAACCTGGACTAAACCAGGACCAAACAAGGACTACACTAGGACTAAACCAGGACTAAACCAAGACTACACTAGGACTAAACCAGGACTAAACTAGGACTAAACCAGGACTAAACTAGGACTATACTAGGACTACACTAGGACTAAACTGGGACTAAACCAGAACTAAACTGAGACTACACTAGGACTACACTAGGACTAAACCAGGACTAAACTAGGACTAAACCAGGACTAAACTAGGACTACACTAGGACTACACTAGGACTAAACCAGGACTATACTAGGACTAAATCAGGACTAAACCGAGACTACACTAGGACTAAACCAGGATTAACCGAGACTACACTAGGACTAAACCAGGACTAAACTCGGACTAAACCAGGACTACACTAGGACTAAACCAGGACTAAACTAGGACTACACTAGGACCAAACCAGGACTAAACCTGGACTAAACCAGGACCAAACAAGGACTACACTAGGACTAAACCAGGACTAAACCAAGACTACACTAGGACTAAACCAGAATTAAACCAGGACTACACTAGGACTACACTAGGACTAAACCAGGACTACACTAGGACTAAACCGGGACTTCACTAGGACTAAACCAGAACTAAACCAGGACTGCACTAGGACTAAACTGGGATCCAAGTGATTCTAGTAAAAGTGAAAACACAGTGGAGCACTTCACTGTTGCACCACATGACATCACGAGGTGGAACGGGGTGTTTTCAGTTTGAGAGAGGAATGTGAATGAAACGAAACCCAACTCCAGGTCTGTTTGTGATGAGGAAACTACATTAAAAGAGATCAGAAAATAGTGTAATATGAACCAGAACTAATCCAGACAAGAAAATATGATCAAACTTTTATTATTTGTACAAAAAAATAGACAAAACACAAAAAATATTTACAAAATGTTCTGTATCAAATGTTGAAATTGGTCTTTAGTACACTCTGGACCTGGAAGAACAAGAGACAGTAATCAATTATAAATCCTCTCTCCTCATCTCTCCTCCTCCCTCTCTTCCTCTCTCCTCCTCCTAGGCTCTCCTCCTCTTTCCTCATCCCTCCTCTCTAGTCTTCGTTTTCTCTCCTGCTGCTCTCTCCTCTCTCTCTTCTTCATTTTCTCCTCTTTGTTTTCTCTCCTTCTCTCTTCTCTTCATTTTTTCTCCTCCTCTCTCCTCCTCCTTCTCTCTTCCCTTCATTTTCTCTCCCCCCCGTCCCCCTCCTTTTTTCTCCTCCTTTCTCCTTCTCTCTTCTCTTCCCCTCTTTCCTCGCTCCCCTCTCCTGCTCCTTTTCTCTCCTCCTTCCCTTCCTTCTAGACCAGGGATGGGCAAACTACGGCCCGGGGGCCATATGCGGCCCTTTAAACCTTTTAATCCGGCCCGCCGAACTTGAATAAATAATAATAATAAACCTTATTAATGTTTTATTTTTCCTGCATTTCCGGTGTTTCCCAGCAGACGGCGCACTATATATACATTGAGGTGCGGCGGCTTCTGTTGGCCGCAATGCTTTATGGGAAAGTATTGACAGGAGTCATTTTCAGGCGGTGTATTCGGACCATGAATGAGGTAGAACTGTTCAAGACATAAGACTGCACTAATTCTGGTTTAAGCATGTACAAATTAAACCTCCATGCTATACACTGTCGTCTTATGGAATATGACACAGCGATAAAAGCAATGCAAATTCTTTGTGAGATGCGGTATGTATGTATAAACGCATTATCTCTTGATATGTGGTTCAGTAGGAGAAGCGTGAACACCTTTGATAAATGCAAGTGAAAGGGCTGTACGAGCTAGTGCCAAATCCCAGCCGCCCATTCAAATTAATGTGCGAGCTCAATGGCGCATGATCCCAGAATAGCCTAGCATGGCTAGGTACTTCCGGTGGCTGTGGGCCGACCGAGCATGCGCAGTAGTGCTCTTTTCTCCCACGGGCACACGCACGGAGCGCGGGCTCGTGTATCACATGATCGTTTTAACCAATCAGAGCGAGAGGAGCTAGAGTGGAGCAGGAGCTAACGGATATAAAGTGTAAAGACATAACGTAGCACTGACATTTAACTTGTACACACTTGAATTGGAATTAGTGCAGTCTTATGTCTTTAACACTTCTACCTCATTCATGGTCCGAATACACCGCCTGAAAATGACTCCTGTCAATACTTTCCCATAAAGCATTGCGGCCAACAGAAGCCGCCGCACCTCAATGTATATATAGTGCGCCGTCTGCTGGGAAACGCCGGAAATGCAGGAAAAATAAAACATTAATAAGGTTTATTATTATTATTTATTCAAGTTCGGCGGGCCGGATTAAAAGGTTTAAAGGGCCGCATATGGCCCCCGGGCCGTAGTTTGCCCATCCCTGTCCTAGACTCTCCTCCTTCTCTCTCCTCCTTTCTCCTCCCCTCTGCTGCTTCTTTTCTCTCCTCCTCCTCCTCTCTCCTCTTCCTTTTCTCTCCTCCTCCTCCTCTCTCCTCCTCCTTTTCTCCTCATCCCCCTCCTAGACTCTCCTCCTCCTCTTCCTCTCTACTCTCTCCTTTCCTCTCTCCTTTCCCCTCTTCCTCTCCTCTATCCTCTCTTCTCCTCCTCTCTCCTCCTCTTTTTCTCTCCTCCTCCTCTTCCTCTCTACTCTCTCCTTTCCTCTCTCCTTTCCCCTCTCCTCTCCTTTCCTCTATCCTCTCTCCTCCTCCATCTCTCTCCTCTTCTTTTTCTCTCCTCCTCCTCCTTTTCTCTCCTCCTCTTCTCTCTCCTCCCTCCTCACCTGGAGAACGTGGACAGCGCCAGCACGCCCAGCACAAACTCGGCGCAGTAGAAGACGAGGAGGACGGCGTTGAGGATGACCTCGAGGCGCAGGACGAAGGTCTGGAGGTGGAGGTAGTACACGCTCAGCGCCGCGCACGGGAACAGCGCCAGCACCGACACGCTCGAGGATAGGGGGCGCTCACACAGGTTTCCCTTCTCCGCTGGAACAACAACAACAACAACAACAATAAATACTGTCGACTCCGGGCTCAATCAAGAATATGTATGTGATGATTCAGAACTAAACCAGGACTAGGACTACACTGCATCAAAAGTTTTAGAACACCCTCATTTTTCCAGTTATTTATTGCAATTCAAGTCGTGTAATTCCAATGAAGAGCCTGAGGTTAATGAGCCCATCTCATGCAAAATCAACTTTTCAGAGCTTTCTACCTTCTAAGAGGCCTTGGGCCTTGTATTTGTCTCCAAAGTGTTTTTTAGTAGAGCTGTCAAGCGATTAAAAAAATTTAGAGATTCATTTATTATGATGTGTATTTAATTAATCGATCTCTTTTTTAATCTCACCTAAAAATTGCAAGAAAAGCCTTCAACTTGAGGTATTTTCATTTGAATTCATTATTACATTATTTTCATACTATCATTAACATTTTTATCATCCATATATTATATCCAACTTCCTCAGGATTATCCTCTGGATTAAAGAAGCAATCGAAATACGGAAACGTGCCCACAGGACTGTAAACCGGGACGAGGGGGCTTTTTTACTCTCACACACCTGGGATGCTGTCCCGAGGAAGTCGGACTGCAGATGGCGCTGTCGTTCTGCCTCCAGCGGTAGGAAGACAGCGCCAAAACCTGTTTAAATCAGCTGACCAGACACGTCACAGCAACATCACGTGACTCTGAGGAAGACGCTAGTGAGCAGTCGAAACTGTCAGGTATGAAATAACACTCTAGGTCTGAAAAAAAAGAACCTAATAACATAGAATATCGGAAGACCAAATGAATCTCATTGGACGAGGACAGAGGCTGTTTCCTATTGGCTGTTCTCATCTGTGGGCAGGTTTAAACTTAAGAAATAAAAGAGATGAGGTTTTGAAATAAGCAGTGTTGTGGAGTAACAGATACGTAATCAGAGTACAAATTATGAGTAACTGTATTCAGTTACAGTTATTGTTTCAGTGAGTGGTAATTGGATTACAGTTACTTTGTTGAAATTAATGGATTACATGGAGGTATTTTCCTGTTTTCACATATTGGGCTGTATCCCATTTGTTTTGTTTTTTTATTTTGGTAATTCCACTCATTGCCGGAAATCCAGAACAGAACAAAACGTGCGTGACAAGAGCTCTGTAAACGTCTTGTTAACGTTGGTGGCATCAGTCACACAATGGACGAGGTCGTTAATAATCTGATTCTGCATCATTTTGAGTAAAAAACATCAAATATAAAAAATTTTTACTGGGCTGGCACCTTTATGTTTGAACTGAAAGTGATTTTATTTTTTTTTGCAATAAATAATATGACACTAACAATAGTGTGGACATAATTGAAGGCAGCAGTGATCTCATATAGAAAGCATTTCTCTATCAATTTTAAGGTTAAGTAAAGACTGGGTTTTTTATTGTCTTTAAGCAGACAAAACTTCTTATGTTAATATTTCATAATCTTTGCTTCTCTACAGCAAACCTTTACCTGTTCATGAAGACTTGGGCTCAACAGAGAATTTGAAGAGAAGAAACAAGAATTTTCAGGATGTGGTTGTTACATTCATGTAGTTTTAAAAAGCAAGACAATATCAACTAATCCAAAGTATTCAGATTACGTACTCACTTTAAGTAATTTAATGGATTATGTTACAAATTACATTTTGGGGTATGTAATCTGTAATCTGTAGGGGAATACATTTTAAAAGTAACCTTCCCAACACTGGAGATGAGGTTTCCTGCTTGTTACTAAATTAGATCGTATCACTTTGGATCGATTGCTTCGCCTCTACCCTGCTCCTGTCCTCTCCTCTCTCCTCCTCCCTGCTCCTCCTTTCCTGGATCACTTCATATCTACACAACACACTATAAAGCCTTTAAAATAATAATATATGTGTGAAAAGTATCGTACCGTAGAAGATTCTGAGCGTCTCCAAACCAAGGAACAGCAGCAGCAGAACCACATCCAGCACCAGATTATCAGCGGGATACGGGAGCAAAATGCCTGAGGGAATACGAGAGCGAGCATTAAAAAAACATAAACATTTTGATCATTAGCCCGGTCATTTCAGCGAATGTTTCAGCTGTTTTCATTATACAAATCCATTTTCAATCAGGATTCCTATTAACACGAGCAATAAGGTTAATGTAAAATCCTCAAAACACAGTTCATAAAAATGTAAAGAGGCGGTATTTTACTTCTATGGGGTATTAACCGCAAACACAAAACATATTTAGATCACCGTGTTACTTTTTATTGTTTTGAAAAAGTCACTCTCCCTTTAGCAACCAGTGTTGCGTCCCGTTAATGAAACTGCACATCGCATCAGCTTTGTCGAGTTGCTGTGTACAGTTTTGTTTCTTATTTTTGTAGATTTATGGAGAATTGACGTGTGAATTGTTATTTAAAATTGTATAAAAAATAAGTTATATTTTGGATAAAAAATGTATTGGTAAAAATGACACATTGGTTAAAATTTTAGCTATTTAAGTTCATGTGTAAAAGGTAAATCATAAATACATATTATAATAAATAATAAATATTATAATTGAAGTATATTAATTAAAATTCAAATAGATTAAATTACTAATGACATTTTGAAATGTAAATTTAATTTCATTATTACACAAATACTACTACTACTAGTACTACTACTACTACTAAAGGTATTGAACAATTCCAATGAAAATCTTCAAGCTGAGTTGAGCCTTGTGTCTGTTTTTTCAAGTTGGACCTGCATTCCTTAAAGACTTGACAATCATCGAGGTTCTGATGGAAAGATTTATATTGAACAAATGAATGATTAAATATTGCAGTGTTTGTGATATCAACATAAATTATAAATTTATTAACATGGAGTCTGTGTTCATGATATAATGGTCGGGTTAAACAAAAAAGTAGGAACAACTTGGAGATAGGGATGTAATGTGACTGTGACACTGTGTTGTCAAATTTGTGTATTTAGTAATATTGTTTATTTAATGACATCATTATTACTGTATAAACCTTATTAGAAGATATCGCCTCAAAATTTTCCCAAACAGGGGAAAATATTATTTTTCTTGCTGGTTCCATCGCAAAAAAAAAAGAATCTCAAATACAATGTACCAAACTCACAATAACCCAACACCATAAAATGTTTTGGGTGAATCCGTTGCGTTTCTTTGGCCCTTACATTTCGAATCACGCACCAAATCCGCAAACCACTTCCTGAAGTAGTCACGTGGTCTGGGCGGTTCACGAGGCTTCAAACATCACCACATACATCACCGATACAAGTCTCGATATGCGCTTCACCAAAGCCTTCCCTGATTACTCGGCATGCGCTTCGAAGCCTCGACACGGGGGACACATCACTAACGTGGGCTTGTGGAGCCTTGTACAGACTCAAACTGCATAAGGAGGGTTTGAATAGGACCAGGGAGAGATCACACGATTGCTCAACCACGCATGATGACATCTAACACCTCCTCAGATGTGTTTTTTGATGAGACAATGTTATAACATCAGTTTTGCATAATATCCCCTCTCGAACAGATTATTAGAGAGATTTGACACTAACCTTTGTATATGAACATGAGGATTTCTGCCAGGTAGAAAGCAGCAAAGTACCATTTGTTCAGATGGAGCAGGATCTGAAGAGGGGCAGATGAGAGCTACAGCAGACAGTCAAGGACAAAAGACACAAAATACGAGGAATTTAAGTCAGTAAGAACACAACTGTCGTACACAGCGTTAGGGAAGGATACGATCTCTTGGTTTCCTGCAAAAATAAAGAACATTTACGTTAATTTATTGAATTAATCCATATATTTCAGTTCCTACAGATTATTGTAAGAGAATTTAACAAATTTATCCTCCACTAATTTATCATCTCAGTTTAATATTGACTCTCAGGAGCTGTAGTAACACGATTATCCTCTCTTAGCACACCACTGGCACCATTATCTAAATTGTTGCATATTTCTGTCTAACTGGTGTCTACTGACCTTCACAATCTCACCACACTCGCTTTATAAATCTCCTCCTTTGGAAGCAGAGTCAAGGGGCTTGAACACTCAAAGATAACACTATGTTCACGTTTGAAATCATACTATGATGACTTTTCAAATCCACCCAGGCTCATATTATTGATGGTAAATAAACTTCTCCTGCTTAAAGGTTGTATAGAGGATTTTCCAAGGAACGAGAAATCCAGCGACTGTTTGTCCTTTTTCAAATGTTGCGCATGCGTGAAACCACCCCCCCTCCCCTACAGCTCCTACGTAGAAACGCCTTCTCCCGCCTCCTCTTTACGCCAGAAACAGGTTTGTTTACAGCCGGTGCTGCACATGACTTGTAAACAACTAACTACAGTGTTGGTTAGGACAAGACGGAGAAGTGAGGAGCGGGGGGAGGGGGTGTGCGGACATTTCGTTCGCGGACGAGAAGTGAGGAGCAGGGAGAAGAGCGGAGCAGGGAGAGAGGAGAGGAGAGAGGAGAGGGGAGCGGTGCGCGGAGATTCTGTGCCCGGAGAAGTGAGGAGCAGGGGGAAGAGCGGAACGGGCAGCGGGGACAGGAGCAGGAAAGGGGTGCAGAGAAGAGTGCGCAGAGATTCCGTGCGAATGAACTAGCTACAACACGCAGCAGCAAGCGGACTCTTTCTTTGCATTGAAAATTACGTTTTCAGACATAGGATATCGCATTCGTGTCCTGAAAAACGTTTGTCTAACTCTTGGAAATAAAGTATGTTTTCATAATAAGCAGAAGTGACCTGTCCAGGAGTAATTTGGCGACCAGTGCGTCAGTCTTTAGACCCTTCGTCTGCTTCAGTCGCGCCATCGCTGGAATGAATCTTCAAGAATCACCTTAGTTTGGCTTCGCTGCTTTTCCCCTTGTCTTCTTCTTTCAGTGACCTCAAAAACGGACTTTCTTTTGCGGCTAACTGCTCCTGGATTCTTGTCTGCCATTGCAACAAACTTTGTGCGAACTGCGAGGAAGATATAGGTCAAAAAAAGCTGCTAAGAACTGTTGCGTTAGTGGAGTAAACAGCGTCTGTGCGTCTTGCGTCTGTGAACTGCGTGACAGGCGTACGTAAACCACGTACCGGCGGCGCGCAGGCAAGTCAGTTACACTAGAAACGTAGGGAGTTTGATTGACAGCCTGTCAGCTCACAGATAACGAGGCAGTGTCGTTATCTATTGGCAAATGTTTAGCCCCACCACGTCCAGAGTTGATGAATTTTTATTCTCTTTTTTTTGGTCATCATAATTACAAGGCTACTGCATCTCTATAATCTATCATTGACAACTTGAAACAAAAAAAAAACAAAAAAAAATCCTCCATACAACCTTTAAGACGTCTCCAGCCTTTTACTTCCACTCTTTCTTGGACAAGCTGAAAACTTCTCCAACAGTTATTATCTAATACAAGTCAGTGATGGGACCAAGTCGTTGTTTTGCAAATCTCTAGTAAGTCTCAAGACCTCAAGTCTGAGTCAAGTCCCAAGTCAAATACAGACAAATCCAAGTCAAGTCTTGAGTCAGTGGCCCATAAGTCCAAGTCAAGTCCAAGTTGTCTGCGTTGAGCTTCAAGTCTTTTCAAGTCTTTAAACCAAAGTATCAAATATAGCTTAGATTTTTGCAATTTGTATGACTTTTAAACTAAATTGTACTTTTAAAATCATAGTATATTTACATGTGAGTATTTATTGAGTATATAAGAGTTGTAGAAATATAATTTTTTAGTTAATTTTTCCTTTTTAAATGTCTTGACAAGATCTTAGTGTGAATCATTACAGTCAGAATAGAAAGAATTCAGATTTAAAAATGCTTCTCAAGTCACAGGCCTCAAGACCGAGTCAAGTCCCAAGTCACTGACCTTCAAGTCCAAGTTGAGTCCCAGTTTAGTCAGTTTTATCAAGTCAAGTCTCAAGTCCTAAAAATTGTGACTCAAGTCTGACTTGGGTCCAAATCACAACTTGCAAGTCCCCACCTCTGGTACAAGTACTGGTACAATATCATAGGATTCAGAGGTGGCAGAGTAGCCAAAAATAAACGCAAGTAAGAGCAACGTTACTCCAAAATAATATTACACAAGTACAAGAGCATATGTAGAATATGGGCCAAGAAATTGCTTATGAGAGTAGGTCTTTGGGAAAAGTACTACTCAAGTAAAAGTAACTTAATTAATGCACAACATCTGGAATTTTAAAGGACAGAGACAAAAATTAGACAAATTAAATCATATCTGAAGGACCCTGTGCAAGAAAGACAAATGTTCAAATCATTTCACATTGTACGGAAGCCGAGGGGGGTCACGACAAACGCAAACGCCGCCACAAATACAAATGCGACAACACAACAAAAAGCCACAACAAACCAAAAAAAAGCCACAACGGAAATGACCGCGGGACTCTATTTTAATGTAAACACCACAACAAATACAAACGCCACAACACATTAAAAAGCCACAACGGAAGTGACCGCGGGACTCTATTTTCCGACGGACCGATCAAGCGGCAAGTGAAGAAGAAGAACTACAACGTGAAAAGTAAAGGAACGAAGAAGTTGGAAACGTAAGTAAAAGTAATTTATTGTTTTATCATTATTCGTTTCACGTTGTAGTTCTTCTTCTTCACTTGCCGCTTGATCGGTCCGTCGGAAAATAGAGTCCCGCGGTCACTTCCGTTGTGGCTTTTTAATGTGTTGCGGCATTTGTGTTTGTGTTGTGGCATTTGGGTCCGGTCAAGTAGTGACGGAGGGAAGCAGGGGTAGCTCTTATTCAGAAACTAGAGGGACTATTGAAATAAATAAGGTATCAGAATGTAGGAAAGAGTTAACACTCCAACAAGGTAAAGTTAAACCTGCGATATTCTTTCAAGTTGTTGACAAAAAATTTAAAAACTCATGTCGGTAACGGGGGGAATGAAATATGCAGCACTTTTTGGGCAATAAATACAAACAGTGATACTGGCGGTTCTCACTTACATATCCTTAACAAACTGGTTTGAATATTTGCTTCATATAGTTTTCTACCATATGGTACAAGATTAGGTTGAAAAACCTCTTACTTTTTGAGTCATGAGATTTTTTATTTAGAAAGGTCATGATAATGGAGGGAAAAGTAACAGAGGGAAAATTATACAAACAAGTAGAAGGTGCATGATTTTACATCATTTGTCGCTTTTTTCTTCTGAATACTTTAATATTACTTCAAAATGAAAGGAAATTATTTCTATAAAATATGTCAGTCCTTCCAAGTAAATTTTTATCATTTTAAATAATTTTTTTTTTTTTTAATCATGTACCTTCATCAACAGTTCAAAGATGAAAAAACACAAGATATGATGAAATACATCCATTTATTTACATGATTTGCAGGTCTTTGAAATTTGGGAAATAATTTTTGTTCCATGTTTCATACATGGTCTGTTTAAAACGAATGGAACTTTAGAACCAAAAATGGTACAGAAAAAAGGTAAACAGTTTCATAAACTAGAGTACATATGCTATCTGTTGAATACATTTTTATATCAGATGCATTAACTTGAATTTTTGGCCTTGCTGTTTACTTCTGCTTGACCGGACCCATTTGTGTTTGTTGCGGCGTTTGCGTTTGTTGTGACCCCTCTCACTGTCCGTAACATTGTCCACATACAGCTTTTGTCCCTTGTAGTCTGACTCATGGTGGGAAGAAGAACCACAACTTTTACTCAAGTAAGAGTACTGTTACTTAAGAAAAGTTTATTTAGTATTACTCAATCATGAGGAGTAAAAGTATGCTGCTATAAAAGTGCTCTGAAAAGTACTATTTCTTTAAAAAGTTACTCAAGTAAATGTAAGTACTACCCACTTTACTATTCTCACGTATTTGTTACACTTTCTTCTGTTTACATTTCATTTTTTATTTAATCAAAACTGTGCATAAATAAAATAAAGGCTGTAAAGCATCACCAGTGCGCATGTCCATTCTGTTTCTACGGACGCTTTGAACCAGCTCTGATTTTAACTCACTTTACTCTGTCTTCGGAGGAAATTAACAAATTCTGTCATCACTGAGTAAATATTTAAACATTTAGCTACGTGCTTTATACTATAAACATACAGAAAATAACTTTACTACGCGTCCAGAGGTGAATTTCTGTCAAAAAGCAGAGAGCTACAGACTCACCCGACGCCATATTGGATTGCCATGGAAACCGCGTCAGGAGTCTACTTCCGCTGCGCTGGGAACAAACCGCGGCACCACAGCGTCATCAAGCGGTGAAACACGGAACTACCGCTCGCTTCTCTCTTCACTGCCGCGTTTCACGTTTCTTCTAGAGTGTTCTCAGTTAAAATATTAAGTATTAATATATAATGTGTACAATGCGTTCACTTCTAACTCCTGTGTGTTATTCAGTTTTAATAAATTATTTAATTATTACACCGTTGCTGTCTGCAAATTGTGTCTAATTTGAAATGCCAGTGCAATTGTGTTCGGAGCTTTGACGTGTGAGATCCATTATTTATTGATTTAATTTTAGTTTAGTAAAATATGGAGTCATTTTGCAAGACAACAGACAAGAACTTTTCTATTATTCTTTTTTATTATTAGCTGAACAGTTCATTCTTAAATGCAAAATCTCAAATATAAAGCCCGTGTTCCAAATTTGTCTTAATAAACTTTTGTCATTTAAGAGAGCCTTGTGCCATATTAAATCTAAACGAGCTGTTGTAATGAATCATTTTATGCAGTCAGATGTATAAGACCTCTTGCACTGTATTTATTAATTTTATTATTATTATTATTATTTATTTTATTTAAAAAAATATGTATTTTGTATTGCCATTATTATTATTATTATTATTATTATTATTATTATTATTATATTATTATTATTATTATTATTATTATTATTATTTATGTATTATTTATTTTATCAAATATATTTTATTTTATCAGATGTATTTTGTATTGCCAACATTGATTTAAAGTCAAGGGAAAACACATATTACAGGAAATAGACAATAAAACACAGAACAAATTAAACAATAAACAAACAGTAAATAAATAAATAAACAGAAGAGCAAGGGTTTACAATTATTGTATTATTATCTAATTGAATTGAATTGAATTTATGAATTATTTTATTTTATTTTTTAATTTATTTTATTTTCTTTCCATGTAAACTCAGTTTCCCATGATGCCTCCGGCGCGCTCTGATTGGTCGGCGCAGGTTGAGGGTTTACGTGGCACTGTGGGCTCGGCGCATGCTCAGTCGCGTCCTCTCCCCGGCAGGAAGATGGTGTCTGTCAGCATGAAGTCCAGCGCTTTATCTTTGTTATTCCTCAACCTTTTCTCGGGCCTCGTGTCCTCCTTGTACTTCCACATCGGGGAAACCGAGAAGAAATGTTTCATAGAAGAGATCCCCGACGAGACCATGATCATCGGTGAGTGTTTATGTTTTACAGAGCCCGAAGATGGAGGTGAAAGGGCTGCTAATGCTAATGCTAAGTCTAGAAGTGAACTACCCCGGATATGATTAAAACATTAAATATAGACACAGATTATTTAAATTACCAACAATCTTAATCTTAATGGTTAATTTAAGATTTTAAGAGGCTGTAATTTTTGTAAAATTGTATCTAGTAAACCAGGATTTGCTATGAATCGACATCTGTAGTTAGTCAATGGTGGATCTATGTAGCTACTATTAAAAGATACTTAAAAGTAACTACATTTATTACATTTTTAACTTTTTTATTTTTTTATTATTCAACAAACTTAAATAGTCAGCAAGACGGGACAACAACTCAGGGGATGTCAAAAACACACAAATAGCACAAAATCTCATAAGGCTGTGCAATTAATTGAATTTTCATTGCGATTTTGACCAATCTCCAAACTCTTATAATCGAGTTGAAACGATTTTAAAGCTTCAATCAATCAATCAGTCAGTCAAACTTTATTTGTATAGCACTTTTCATATATTTGAAATGTAGCACAAAGTGCTTCACATGCAACAGAAAAAAATACAATATTAAAAACAACAGGAACCCCCCCACCCCATTATTTCATGCATATATACAACAATAAAACATAAACATAAAGCTCCTAAAAGTTATAGTAAAAATATAAATGGAGAGCTAAAAACAGATGGAAACTAAATAAAATAGTAATGGTAATTTAATTAAAAGCTAATAATAATAATAATAATAATAAAACAGGCAAAAGTTTCAATTAAAAGCTAAATTAAAAAGATATGTTTTAAGTTTACTTTAAAAAATATGAACACTCGCAGCGGACCTCAGATCCTCAGGTAGACTGTTCCAGAGACGGGGGCCGTAAAAGCTAAAAGGATGCCTCACCGTGGGTTTTAGTTTGAACTCTTGGGACAGTTAAAAGAAGACTACCTGAGGACCTGAGAGTCCAAGAGGGCTCATATGATAAAAGCAGATCAGATAAATAAATAGGACTAAGACCATTAAGAGCTTTATAAACCAATAAAAGAACTTTAAAATCTGTCCTGAAGCTCACAGGAAGCCAGTGCAGAGACTTCAGTACTGGGGTGATGTGCTCTCTCTTCCTGTTCCTCGTCAGCAGCCGTGCTGCAGAGCTTAACAAAGTTTATTTTAGGATTTTTATATATATATATATATATATATATATATATATATATATATATATATATATATATATATATATATATATATATATATATATAAGTATATATATTATTATTTAAACATAGAGATTGTAGAACAGCTGGATATATGGTTTATTTTGGATACATTTATGTTTTTCTATGTTTTATTTCATGTTCAAAGTGTATTTTATTCATTTTAAGTTTTATACATTGCAAAACTGCTCTAAGGTTCATATTTGTAGTCTATATTTATTTTAAATTTGAAAGTTTTGCGGATTTTTTTGAGAGAGAAATACTGAATAAATGCATCGAGTAACTAAAATATAATCGTTTGAATAATTGTGATTTCAATTTTGACCAAAATAATCGTGATAATGATTTTTTTTTTTTTTTTCCCATAATCGAACAGACCTAACTAAGGGTAGCTAAATTAATCGCACTTATAACTTTTTAAAAAATTATTATTATTATTATTCAACAAACTCAAATTGTCAGTAAGACAGGGGACAACAACCAGGGACGTAAAAAACACACAAATGCACAAAATCTCAAAAAAACCCACATACGATACATGGGGCGACATGCCCAACCAACTACACAGGAGAAAAAGAAAAAAACAAAACTCAAATACACACCAAATAAAATAAAGTGCAACATAAAACGCAGGGGAAATTTATAGCATAATATTGTAGTTATTTCTTATAGATATTGTTTGTTTTAATCGCTTTTTTTGTTTTTGATCTGTTATTATTGTCTGGAAATATTGTTGTATTTCGTTTTGAGTCTATTTTGTTTTGTATATATGATATTTACCAGCGTGATGAGAGTCTGAATGAGGAAGGAGAGATCTTTAAGAACATAGGAGTTGTTGAATTTCACCTATAACCAGTGTTGGGAAGTTTACTTTTAAAATGTATTCCCCTACAGATTACATACCCCAAAATGTAGTGTGTAATGTAATCCATTAAATTACTTAAAGTGAGTAACGTAATCTACTTTGGATTACTTGATTTGCTGTAGAGAAGCAAAGACGAGGATATCGTAACATAAGATGTTTTATCTGTTAAAAGACGATGAAAAGCCCAAACTTTACTTAATCGTATTGACTCAACCGAAGAGGAGGAGACGCGTCCACACAGCATGATTAAATCCTGTTAAATTACTGTTTTAGACCTGGTTTTAATCCTGGTTTTAGTCCTGGTTTTAGACCTGGTTTTAGACCTGGTTTTAGACCTGGTTTTAGACCTGGTTTTAAACCTGGGTTTAGACCTGGGTTTAGACCTGGGTTTAGACCTGGGTTTAGACCTGGGTTTAGACCTGGGTTTAGACCCGGTTTAGACCTGGTTTAGTGTCCGGCAATGAGTAGAATTACGAAAAAAAAAGGGGGATATAGCCCAAAATGTAAAAACAGGAAAATACCGCCGTAACTGTAATCTAATTACCACTCACTGAAACAGTAACTGTAACTGAATACAGTTACTCATAATTTGTACTCTGATTACATAACTCTGGTACATGTAATCTGTTACTCCCCAACACTGATTTTAGGATCCTGGATTGTACAGTATGAACGCTGTCTGCGTGTTGTGTGAATGTTGTCTTTGTCTGTTTGTCTTTTGTTCTGTTTTGATTTTTTTCTTTCTTTTCTGTAAATGCTGCTTTTGTTCATGTATTAGGACCCCCTCGCAAACGAGATGCTACGTCTCAAGCGGCTTCCCTTATATATAAATAAATATATAAAAAATAAATTTGTATTAATAGGTTTGTTTAATGATTATAAAATGACCACAAATGTTGAAAAATATACGTAAAAGCTGCTAAACCTGTAATTTAGACCTCAACAAACATGTTCTGAAGTGTTCCTCTGTGTCAGATGCCCTCCCCGTGTCTCCAAACACGTTCTGAAATGCATGGGATTTAGGGCTGGGTATCGTTAAGAAGTTGCCGATACGATACATACCTCGATACATAGGCCACGATACGATGCATATTTCGATACAGTGAACCTTCAATTCGATATATTTCAAATTGATTCGATACTGTTCAATAAAAAGAATCGCTAAATCACAAAAAGTCTTTGTTAAACCACTGCTTTAGCAAAGTGAATATGAAACAAAAACATTTTAATCCTCAAAACAATGAAAATGTTAAATAAAATCTAGCCTAGTTAAGATTATTTGAATTAAGTTTTATCATGATCTGAGTAAATTCCACTTGACAAATTAAATTATCCATCAGCGGAATACGATTTTTTTGTACTTAAAATATGAAAATACAACTTGCTACACTTAAAAACAGAAAAACAACAACCCTTAAAATAAGAAATGAAATTGAATGTCGCTTGAATTTAGAAAAACACTTATTCCATTGGTAGAGTCGACTCAAATAAAGCTTAATTTTCATTTTAACTAACCTTTTTGCAGTGTGAATGAGTTTCCTTCCACTAAACAAACAACAAAACTGTAGCTGTAACAAAATAATTTAGTAAAATACACCAAAAATACTCGATACTCGATACAGCAGCCCACGATATCAATACTGTATCATCACGTTAAACGATACGATATATCGATATTTCAATATTTTTGCACAGCCCTAATGGGAATATTGTATTAGTTTAGCTGTCCGGATTTAAATCTTTTCTCAAATGTTAATGCCCTTGGACACGTTTGACCAGACACTTAAACTCTGATGGACTTTACTGATCCACAAGGGAAAATATAAAGCGATTTAAAAAATATAAATAGCCATAATAAATTATAAATAAGTAGAAAAAATAGCAAGAGACTGTTGTCAAATAAGGCATAATTATATAAATGTATATGTACAAGTTTAGTAAAAAAAAAAAAAAGGAAATATAGTAAAATACAGTATTACTCCAGTTGTCATAAAAAAATAAAGTGCTCCTGATTGTAAACATCACAAAATTAATCCTTTTTTTTTCGGTGACAGGTAACTACCGCACTCAGCTCTATGACAAACAGAAAGAGGAGTACCTGCCTGCCACTCAGGGCCTGGGGATGTTTGTGGAGGTGAAGGACCCCGACGATAAGGTACGATTACATCACTAACCACTGGGGGGCGCCGCAGGTTAAGTTTGTTTAAGAGGAGCGTACGGGCTGAAACGAAGCCTGGAGCTGTTGGTTTTGGTGCAGGTCAAACTGGTTTAAAGTTACATCACGTCGCTTTCTGATCTACTGGAGCTGATGGATCTGTATTAATGGAGTTAAGATTTTGGATTGTCACGATAACAAATTTAGAAGTTTAATCGTTTGTTGGCAAAAATATAGATGATAAACGATAATATTGAAAATAATTTCAGCCAAGAGAAGATTTAAACCACTAAAATTACTGTAAAACTACAATATTGTTAAAAAGAAAATCACGAGATGCAATAAGTAAACAGCAAAATGAAACACTTAGTACTTAGTTTGCATCTGTAATCACTCACTGAAGTTACAAATTTGACCTTCTAGAGCTTAAATCTTATCACATAGCTGAAAAATAACCAATACATTTTCCAGCAGTGCAAAGGAAATGCACTCAAGATAAATATTGACCACAAAAATATATTGTTTCTACTATCATATATTGAAAAATAAGTCGATATTGTGACTATTGTAACAGGATTATTTTGAATTGAGTTCATGTGCAGATCACAAGTTAGGATTTCTAGTCTGCAAAATTGACTTTTCAGAGGGTTTTTTTTACCTCTGAAGTTGTATTGGGAGTTTTTTGTGCATGTTTGAGCTCTTTCAAGACGCCATAATGTTTGAGTTTTTGCAAATTTTGTTATAACACATACGAAAAATATGATTGCCAAAGAGGAGAGACGCATTTAAACATGAACATAAATAAATTCCCTTGTAGCAACCCTGTTTTTTTTTTCGCAAATAAAAGACTTCACGCTGCGTACTGATGATCCCGTGTCAATATTTATTCTCGTTCACCTTTGACTCCATCAAACAGTGAAAACTAAATGAAGACAAATAGAGAAAACGGCTCAGCTTTATGTACCGAACCTTTAAACAAATACAGAATGCAAAACAATATATTTACTGTGTTCGACTAAGTAGCAGTCTGACGTCTTTTCTTTACACTTTTTGTGCCTTTCTGTCTTTTCTCTCTTTCACGGCTACTATTTCTCACTCTCTGTTTACTTCTGGGACAAAGTAAAAACTCAAATGACTCATAAATAGGGATGTAACGATATCCAAATCTCACGTTACGATATTTATTGTGGTATTTTGTGGAGGCTAATTGTAAATATGTTCCTTTTTCCTTTTAAAATGCCTTGGCAAGACTTAATCCAAAGAACTAAGATTTGCTTAAAAGTGCTTAGAACTGATATTTCCTCATGTAGTCTGTACTGAAATGGAGCAAAGGGTCATGGTCAGTGTAGTTCCCTCTGTTTTTTTAGCTATCGCTGCACCATAACAATGAATTTAAGCAAAGAAACTTGTGATTCGATATATTGTGATGGACATTTGACTATACGATATCACGATATTTTGGTTATTGTTACACCTCTACTCATAAAGATAAATATTAAAACATCTTTGTCACTCTAACTCAGGAGTCTCCAACCTGTAGCTCTCCACCCCCTTTCAAGTCGCTCGCCAAGGCATTCCTGAATTACACGTATTGTCCTGAATAACTCAAATTTGATTAATTAAATGCCTATTATTATTATTATTATTATTATTATTATTATTAATCTATCATTTTGATGCCTGACTTTGTGCACTCATAAATTAATAATGGTTTATGTTCTATGTTTTAGCCAACTGTATCTCATCTAAGTTTTCCCATGGTTCTTATGTACACTTTATTTCCTGCGACCTCTAAAATTAGTTGCCCTCTGGAATATTCGTTAGACCCCTGCTCTAACTCATCTGTAATGCTTGGAGTGACTAGGGATGTAACAATAACCAAAATATCGTGATGTTATATCGTCAAAAGTCTCACAATAATACTGTGGGCTGTCGCAATATATGGAATTACAAAATCTGTTGCTTAAATGCATGGTTTTATAGAAGCAACAGCTTATGAACATCAGGAACAACATATCCCATGATTCATTTCAGCACAGACAACATAAAGAAATATGTTTTTACTTGAATTCTTGGGGTTATGACGGAAATAATTCACATCAAATTCTTGTCAGGACACTTTTTTGCTTTTAAAATACCCTATCTCCATTAGGGTGCATCATTTTCCCCAATGTCAGAAATTCAACTTGTACCCAATTTAAAAATGTGACAATACCAATTAAAAGAATCTGTGGAATATTAGCCCAGTTGAATAAAATCTACTGGATCCACCGAGCCTCTTAAGTTTTATTCTAACGGTGTAAAGCACTGGCAGAAAAATCTATTTTTCTCAAGTAACTTTAAAAATAATCCATTTAGGGCCATGGTGTCAATGAAGGTTGAATATAAATGTTGCTTTTGCACATATTTTGTTACCAATTGTATATCTCTATCTTCATAACTTTCTAAGATATGATAGTTTTGTTAAGATTTTGAGCGTTTTTTCATAATTATCCAAAATCCACAAAGGCCAAACATGAAATGAGACATAAAGTTTGTTGTTCTTTCTGTAGTGATCATAGACTGTATAAAAAAAACTGGAGTAAGTGAGTGTGACGTCACCAGAGCGTCCCAGTGAGAGGTACGGCTCAGGGTTTGGTAAATCCAAGTTTCCAGAAAGGATAAGCATGTTATTAAAGAAAAACTGATTTTTCAGCTCAGATTTAAGGCTTCCACAGGCACTAAACGTCAAATCCAGTAGACATCAATAGAATTTCATGACAGTTCTCACGGAAGTTTACTTTGGCAGGTGTAAAAAATTTATACTAGGTACAGATTGATTTTAAAAAAATTTCATAAAGTTGGGCAAATAATGCACCCTAATCTACACTTATATCTGCCTCTCCAAAATATTGCAATAAATATCGTACCGTGAGATGCATAACGTGATAATATCATACCGAGAGATTTGGATATCGCTACATCTCTAGGAGGGACAATTGCTTTTTTTTTTTACTCTGCCTGGTTGATATTGACAGTTTTGTGTTTTGTGTAGGTGATCCTGTCTCGTCAGTACGGCTCAGAGGGACGCTTCACCTTTACCTCCCATACTCCCGGAGAGCACCAGATCTGCCTGCACTCCAACTCCTCCAAGTTCGCTCTCTTCGCTGGAGGCATGCTGGTAATACAACTTATCTCACAGAAGTTAAGGGGAAAAAAAATGTTTAAAGGAACTGTATATCCTATAGTTTAAAAAATATATACTGACCTCCTTCATTATGCAAAACTTACTCCTCAAAACATCAGGAAAAGGCGTAATATGGGCACTTTAATAAATCAGAACTTCTTCAATCTGGACAGTAAATGGTGGTAGAGCCAGTTTGAAAATGAAAATACTCTAATACTTTTGTTGCTGTTGTTGTTGTTTCAGAGGGTGCATCTGGACATCCAGGTGGGGGAACACGCCAACAACTACGCAGAGATCGCCGCTAAAGACAAACTCACAGAACTGCAGCTCCGAGTCCGGCAGCTGGTGGAGCAGGTCGACCAGATCCAGAAGGAGCAGAACTACCAGAGGGTAAAGATACTACTACTACTACTGCTACTGCTACTGCTACTGCTACTGCTACTGCTACTGCTACTACTACTACTACTACTACTACTACTACTACTACTACTACTACTACTACTACAACTACTACTAGTGCTGCTACTACCAGTGCTTCTTCTACTACTAATGGCACTACTACTACCACTAATGCTACTACTAGTACTACTACTAATGCTGCTGCTACTACTAGTACTAGTACTACTACTACTAATGCTTCTGCTACTACCACTAATGCTACTACTACTACAACTACCAATGCTGCTACTACTACTACTACTACTACTACTACTAATGCTACTACTACTACTACTCCAGATTCAGAATGAACAGAATTACCAGAGGGTAAAATACTACTAATAATACGGTACTTTTAAGGCTGTTACTACTACTACTTCTACTACTACTATTATTACTACAACTACTGCTGCTACTACAACTACAGTATGGTAATAGACCAGATCCAGAAGGAGCAGTTCCACTGGAAGATACAGCTACCAATAATGCAAATAGTACTTGTACTACCACTTCTATGACCACTACTACTACTACTCCATGTTTGTACTTGTTCAACATACTGTTGTTACTACAACAATATGTTCATATACCAGATGCAGACAGAGCAGAACTTTGCAAGGGTAATCTGCTACTACTACTACTACTACTACTACTACTACTACTACTACTACTACTACTAATGCTACTACTACTACTACTACAGATTCAGAATGAACAGAATTACCAGAGGGTAAAGATACTACTAATAATACGGTACTTTTAATGCTGTTACTACTACTACTTCTACTACTATTATTACTACAACTACTGCTGCTACTACAACTACAGTATGGTAATAGACCAGATCCAGAAGGAGCGGTTCCACTGGAAGATACAGCTACCAGTAATGCAAATAGTACTTGTACTACCACTTTTATGACCACTACTACTACTACTCCATGTTTGTACTTGTTCAACATACTGTTGTTACTACAACAGTATGTTCATATACCAGATGCAGACAGAGCAGAACTTCGCAAGGGTAATCTGCTACTACTACTACTACTACTACTACTACTACTACTACTACTACTACTACTACTACTACTACCACTACCACCTAGATCTCCTCACCTACATCTCTCCTGGGCTCTATTCAAACCTTCTTTACGTTTAGCTGTAAGATTCTGTCCAAAGCTCCGCTCACAAGTCTACATCACCCATACTTTTATACAAGAGCATTACACAAAACAATAAATTAAAACTCGACAAACCTGATGCAATGTATAGAAGATTCATTAGTGGGATTCACACTGATTGTGTTTTGATTGTTCTAAACTTATCGCAGAGAGCAAAAGGAAGGGAGACACAAAGAAACTGAATAAAGGGCATTGTGGTGATCTAAATATGTTGTGTGTTTGCAATTAATACACCATAGAAGAGTAATACCTCCTTTTTAAAGAGCCATTACACATCCTCACAAAGTTTTACTCCACACCTAAGCAAAATATGAAAAATACTTCGGCGGGTTACTCCGGACTTTGAAACAGAGCCGACATTTGTGCTCGGATCACGCTGTTTTCCTTTTCCCCAGACACATTGGGACATCACGGTGCCAGGTCGGGGCGAAACTAAGAGGGGCTCCTCACGTACCGCCCGTAGACGCCAGTGGCTGCGTTCGTGACGTAATATCCTGCGTCTGACTCGTTGACGCATTAGTCCAACCCAAAAACTCAAATGTTCTGACCGTAGTTGATCCTAAAGAGGTCGTTACAGGCACAACTTCAACCCAAAAGTCTGATTTTTAACAAATAACGCACTGAAATGCCAAAATAAGTCCAGGGACAGAGATACACTTCTATTTTAGACACATTTACAGGGGTGTAACAATAACCGAAATATCGTGATATCGTATCGTCAAAGTTCTCACAATAATACCGTAGACCATCACAATATATCAAATCACAAGTCTTTTTGCTTAAATTAAAAGTTATGGTGCGGCAATAGCTAAAAAAGACAGAGGGAACTACATAGACCATGATCCTTTGCTCCATTTCAGTGCAGACTACAAGAAGAAATAACAGTTCTAAACACTTTTAAGTCTTAGGTTTTCAGATTAAGTCTTGTCAAGGCATTTTAAGAGGAAAAAGTAGCATATAGTAGTAGTTTTGTTGCCTCCACAAAATATCACAATAAATATCGTACCTTGAGATGTATATTGTGAAAGTGATTTTGGTGTTTAGTGGCACTTTAATGCAGACCTATTCTGAAAAAGCGACATTTCAGAGCTTTTAACCATTTTTATAGTTGTTTCTCCTCACCATTTACCCTCTCGAAGTTGAATTTGGAGTGGTTTGTGCTTGTGTGAGTCATCTTTATTCGCTTATTTTCACTACACCACAGTGCCGATCAACTGCTGCTCTGTACTTTCTTCATTCTCCAATTTTATTTTCTAAAGCCCTATTCGCACAGGATGATAAGTACAACCTGGTGATGTCTGGTAATTTGCAAATTACCGCCCAACTTCTGTGTTATTTGCAGCACATTTGCGCAGGATAAGAGAAGTCCATAATTCACTCTATTTTACTGACACTGACAGAGATAGAAAGAGAGAAGAAAAAGATAGAAAAGGCACAGTTACTACAACAAACACTGAGATGCAGATTCTTCAGATTCTTACTTTACAAATTACGGTATTTTTTGGATTATGAGTCGCTCCAGAGTATAAATCGCACCAGCCAAAAAATGCACAATGAAGAAGAAAAAAACATAAGTCGCACATTTTGGGGGAAATTTATTTTTATAAAATCAGAGACCAGGAGCCGATATTTCATCTTGAAAGTCAAGTTCTAGTAATAACATTAAAACAGAGAACAACAGACTGTTAACGTCACCTATGAACAGTTCTTCAGATACTATAACATAAATAACAGAACAGAACAAGTTTACCAAACTCTCCATCTCACTCCAAATCACTAAATCCATTCAATTCTTCATCCTCGGTGTCACTTCTGAACAACTCCGTGACCTCCGGAGGTAAACAGAGCGCCGCTTCCTCTTCTGTGTCGCTGTCGTCAGACTCAGCATCAGTTCCCGTTAGAATTATTCGGGCCTTTCTGAATCCCGACAGGATGGTTTCGGTGTCACTGAAGTCCAGGCTTTGTCCATTAATCCAGTGACTTCAGGAAAGTTTCATGGTGCATCCTCCCGGTGTCACAAGTTTCTCGCTCACTCCAAACTTTCCTTCTGCTGCTCGATTACCGTTTTTGGCTGAACATTTCACACTACTTGCAGCAGCACAGAGGCTCTTTCTGCAGGAGACAGGCGCAGTAGAGCCAAGTGACAGTGGTACAGGAGGAACAGGAGCAGCAGATACTGACACACAAGACTAGAACCTTTCATGACTGTCAGTGTGAAAATTTTAATATATAAGTCTCAGGAAACACCCAAACTATGAAAAAAAGTGTGACTTATAGTTCAAAAAATACAGTACATATTATTACAAATCCCCAAAGGTCCACAGTTAAAACTAATCCCATGTGAAAAGAGCTTTAGTTGGTGATTGTGATTATGAATGTTTTTTGTTTTTTTTCTGCAGTACCGTGAGGAGCGCTTCCGTCAGACCAGCGAGAGCACCAACCAGAGAGTCCTGTGGTGGTCCATAGTCCAGACCCTGATCCTGGTCGCCATCGGCATCTGGCAAATGAGGCACCTCAAGTCTTTCTTCGAGGCCAAGAAACTGGTCTAAAACCCGGGACTAGACCTACTCGCTCCCGAACCCCGGCTCCGGGCTGGTCCGAAACCAGCCCACACAAGTCCCCCCTTCAACTTTTTCGTTTCAAAGCAGAACTCGGTCGCGCTTTTGGTATCTTTGCGTTTTTTTGATACTTTTTTTTAAACCAGCTGCTCTCCCGTTAAAGGGCACGTGCTCGATCTACTGTACAACCTCACCTTAAATCAGCAGATTGCAAATTTGTTGACCTGGTTTACGTTTTTTTATCTCGGTAAAAACTGGGCCTATCCACACAAAACAAAAACTGTCCCAAAGTTCAACACGTTCTGTCATGAAAATTATCCGTTATTTACAATATTTTCAGAAAGTCCTGCCATTATTCCACACCAACGACGTGATTTTTGTCATTTGAAAGGATTTTAAAGCAGATTTCTTATTTAAATTTGACTTTCCAGAGTTTTTGACCATGTTTTAGTCGTTTTCTTTTCATCGTTTACTCACCCGAAGTTGTTTTTGGAGTGTTTCATGCACGTTTGAATCATCTTTAATCGCTTATTTTTTGTCACTGCTCTGTATTTACGTGATTCTACAGTTTTATTTTCTTATTCGGCACAGGATTCTGCAGCATCGCGGTGTAATTTTGGTACAAAAACAAAAACAAATCATGGTAAGGTTGAACGTTTGTGGATAAGTTTGGAGATTTCTTCCCAAAACAGTGAATCTGATATCATCAAATTCAAGAACGTGAGCTTAAACTGGTGTCGAATAAGGCTTAATTAAACAAAAATACAAGCACAATTAAAGATAAAACATAGAAATTTTGTAAAACAAATACATTTCAGTCATATTCAGGAGGTCGTGAAGAGAAAATGGTGCAAAAATGAGTTAATAATTGAGTATAAGGTTGAGTAAAGTTGTTGTACAGTTGTTTGGAGCGTGGCATGAATGTCGTTTTGCGTCTCTCGCTTTCTTTCCGAGTTCTGCTTTAAAACGAAACGGTGCCGAGGAGAAGAATCGCCAGGTTTTCGGGATGTTAAAGCAGTACAAACACGCGGGGGACAGAGTGCACAAAATGAACTGAAAATCTGCACCTTCCTCGCTGAACTTCGTCCGAACAGCAGATCCGCGATGGGCTCCGTCTGCTGCAAATGTTACTGGCCAATGGAGTTTATTTTTCAACTATTTTAATGTATTAAAGTCGCACTGTGTAACTTTTCTGTATGTCCCAGTGGAGAGGTTATACAGGAGAGCTGCCTGGAATGTTCCACAGTATGACATTACAGTAACGAATCTTGTATTTATTTAATTGTGGGTGTGTTTAATGCTCAAAAACTTTCATACGGCGAAAATCGGATATTAATCAATACTAAAACTACCGTGTTTTTCGGACTATAAGTCGCTCCAGAGTATAAGGCGCACCAGCCAAAAACTACATAATGAAGAAGAAAAAAAAAAAGGAGTCGCAGAGCCACTCAAACCTTGAAAAAAAGTGCGACTTATAGTCCGAAAAATAGGTTAATATCGAAACTAGATACACCACAACTACAACTCGAGAACTTAAGATCTGGTTTGACCCCATTATCCAAGTTTAGACCTTCTGACTTTCTTGGACCAATTGTAGTCCTGGTTTAGTGCTGGTTTAGTCCTGGTTTAGTGCTGGTTTAGTGCTGGTTTAGTGCTGGTTAAGCCTGTCTGTTTGGTCTGTAGTGCACACCCAGATGGCCGATGTCCAAAGGCTTTTTTTTATTTTCAGGTTTCCAACAGTCATGGAAATCCTAGAATCCTCTTTCAGACAACTACTGCTTTCTGTTAAGTTCTCATGAGGCTATTATGATTATTTCTGAACGTCTGCGCTTTTTGTTTAAAAGAGACGACAATAAATGCACTGACAGGATTTTGAATGTTAAAAAACTATAATCCCAAACCATAAAGTGAGTCGAAAGAGTTAACATTTCATATTTAGCCCTAAAAGTCTGATCAATTCTACACATGAAAATTCACTTTAGGTCATAAAAAAGTCATGGAAAAGTTTTGAAATTTTGTCAGTGAAAAAGAGTGGGAGCCCTGTTTTTTTAAATAATGTTTCAGCAAAAAAAGCCTTCGTCAGATCATTTTTCTTGCTTTGGACCACTGTATGCAGCAAGAAAAATAATCTGATGAAGACTTGTTTTGCTGAAACATTATTTAAAAAATAAAAAGAAGCTTTTAGACATTGGACGTTTGAGTGTTGCTATGCATTTTTTTGCTTTTATTTTGCTGTTCCTTGTATCAGGACATCTTATCCTCTACAAGAACTTTCTGAACTTTAGTGCTTTTTCTGTTTCATATTTTTAGTCTGTAGTAACATGGGTTGGATCTAGTTTGGATCTGGTATAGTCCTGTGTTGATTTCATGGTTTTGTCCTTCCCAATTTAGTACTAGTCCCAGTTGAGTCTTTGAGTTTTTGTTGAATCTTGTTCGAATCTTGGTCGAATTTCAGTTGAATCCTGGTTGAATCTCTTTCGAATCTCGGTCGAATCTAGGTTGAATCCTGGTTTAATACTGATTGAATCTCGCTTGAATCTCTGGTCCAATCCTGGTCCAATCCTGGTCCAATCCTGGTCCAATCCTGGTCCAATCCTGGTCCTATCCTGGTCCTATCCTGGTCCTATCCTGGTCGAGTCCTAGAATAACCTACTTGGACCACTGAGGGATTACGCAAATATAAGACCACATGGAAACATATGAGAACGTACTATTTTAATGTCAAAAATCACTTGCTACAGCCTAAACGAAAAGTATTGGTATCGGTATTAAGTATCGAGTGTGTTCCTTGGTATTGAAATTTTAGTTTCACAACAACATTAATTAAAAGTTCAGATTTTTACGGTCTTCAGAACGTGAAAACAGAATTTGTGCTTCTCCGCTTTCAGAAACCAGAGCGCTGATGTATTTCTAACAGTAACTAGCATGCCAACAGTGCAGCGGTGAACTTCCTGCTTCCTTTGTTTATACTTTAAGATTAGATTCATCGCTGTATCCGAATCAATATCAGTTTTGGGGTCGCTTTTCCACAGATTTAACGTAAAAAGATCTGTTTATACTGCGGAACATTCCAGACAACGCGATGGCCTCTTCGCGTAACCGCCGCCAGAAAAGTTACGCAATGCAGCTTTAACGAGTGAATGCAGTTTTTACTTTTAATGGAGGAGGAGCGTTTTTATTTTAAGCATAAGTTTAGGACCTGTCTATATGTACATAGATATTTTCTGTCCACGATTTCTACTTCAAAATAGTATTTCAAGTCCTGGTCCTCGTCCAACTCGTGTAAGGTTCAGTATTACGTCGTTTTCTGATCTGTGTTATAATGTTGTTTTCTGTTGTAAACATGCCTGGAGTTGCATATTTAGGTTTTTTTCTCAAACTTTGTCCCAACTCGTGATGTCATGTGGCGATACAGGAAGTGCTCCAGTGTGTTTTTAAACTCTAAACACCTTCATTTCGCTGATATAAGCTCTGGAATTGACCATTTTTACCGATCTAAAGGTCACAGAGAGAAATCCTGCACACCATCTTTATTACGACATACAACGTTTCGGCACTAGGCCTTTTTTCGTTTTATTTTTGCCTGATGAAAGCCCAGTGCCAAAACGTATGTCCTAATAAATCTCACATTTTACAAATAAGACAGTGTGGGTGTGTGGGATTTTTCTCGATGTTCTTGGGCTGCTCCCTCTCCTCCAACTCACCCGTTTCAAGAAATTGATGTGCGAAGTTCTCAATCCTTTTAGACTGAACTACCGTAACTTTCGGACCATAAGTCGCACTTTTTGGGGGAAATGTATTTTATAAAATCAGAGACCAGGAACCGACATTTCATCTGTTCTAGTAAAAACAATAGAAGAGAAAACGACAGACTGTTAACGTCACATATGAACAGTTCTTCAGATAAACTATAACATAAACAACAGAACAGAACAAGTTTACCAAACTCTCCATCTCACTTCAAATCACTAAATCCATTCAATTCTTCATCCTCGGTGTCACTTCTGAGCAACTCCTCGACCTCCGGAGGTAAACAGAGCGTCGCTTCCTCTTCTGCGTCGCTGTCGTCAGACTAAGTATCAGTTCCAGTTAGAATTATTCCGGTCTTTCTGAATCCCGACAGGATGGTTTCGGTGTCACTGAAGTTCAGGCTTTGTCCATCCATCCAGTGACTTCAGGAAAGTTTCATGGTGCATCCTCCTGGTTACTGTGAAGTTGTGTTCTTCATCGTCGCTTTTCGCCCTCACAAGTTTCTCGCTCAGTCCAAACTTACTTTCTGCTTCTCGATTACCGTTTTCGGCCAAATATTTCAATACTTGCAGGAGGACAGAGACTCATTCTGTAGGAGACATGCGCAGAAAACTGATACACAAGTCTACAGCGCCCTCTAGCGGCTGTCAGTCTGAAAATTTTAATATATAAGTCGCAGGAAACACCCAAACCATGAAAAAAAAGTGCGCTTTATAATCCGAAAAATACGGTAAAAGGTAAAAGGAGGCGTTGACTTGAAAACTGCCGCTTCATGACATCACAAGGTGGAGCAGATCGTTTTGAGTTTGGAGATGTAGACACACGATGAATGAATGAACTCCAGGTCTGTTTTTTGAGGAGGAAACAACATTATAACACGACTTAAAGCTCACAAAAGTCAATTTCACGTAATACAGGACCTTTTAATTTTTTTGCAACACGAAGACTCTTGGTTTGTAAAAATATCTATGCTCATGTTTCTAGGTCCTCAAAATCTAAAATTTTGTTCTTTTTGAGGGGATTTCTGTTTTTGTTTCTCAGTTTTATTTAAAAATGCGGGTTATTTTTGTAGAGATTGTGTGAAGATTGCACTCAAGAGATAAAACACGTTTGAAGGTGATCGGTTTAAAATGTCAAGGTTTGATCAGACTGTGACTTAACCAAGATTTGTTTTAAATAAATGGAAATAAAGGAAATGGAGCGTGTTTCATTCATTTACCATAAATCCAGAAGTAGCAGAGTAACCAAATATTGTACTACAGTAAGAGTAACGTTATTTCAAAATAATAATACTCAAGTAGAAGTACACAGTAGTGGTCCAACAAATTACTCGATTAAAAGGGAAAACTATTCAAGTAAGAGTAAATTCAAGGTACAATATGTAACTTTTTGGTTAGGCGTCTGTCACCTTCTTGTTTCTATGGAGATGTAATTACGTGGAATGTTCCACAGTGTGACTTTAAACAGTTTTACCTTATATTTATTCAATTACAGGTGGTTTTATAGCTCATAATATCTTGAAAAACAGATTCTGACTGTGAGCGGGGTCGCCTCTCCGCAGATCTGACCTGTAACTTGGTCTGGTTTGGTCTCCATGACGACAGAAAGGTTTAAAGCCATACTGTGAAACATTCCGGACAAAGCAGTAACATCTAAAAATAATAATTTGAAGGCCCAGGCATAAAATAATGCACAAAATCTGGTATTTTTCAAAGGACAGACACAACAATGAGACAAACTATATCAGATTTGAAGGAGCGGATTACAGACCCCAAAATGTAGTTTGTAACATAATCCATTAAATTACTTAAAGTGAGTAATGTAATCTGAATACTTTGGATTACTTGATTTGCTGTAGAGAAGCAAAGATGAGGATATCGTAACATAAGATGTTTTGTCTGATAAAAGAAAATAAAAGGCCCAGTCTTTACTTAACCGTATTAAAAATATTATTGATAGAAGACGAGGAGACACGTCCACGCAGCATGGTTTAGTCCTGTTAAATCCTGTTTTAGTCCTGATTTAGTCCTGGTTTAGTCCTGGTTTTAGACCTGGTTTAGATCTAGTTTAGATCTAGTTTAGACCTGGTTTAGTCCTGTTAAATCCTGTTTTAGTCCTGGTTTAGTCTTGGTTTAGTCCTGGTTTAGACCTGGTTTAGATTTAGTTTAGACCTGGTTTTAGTCCTGGTTTAGACCTGGTTTAGATCTAGTTTAGACCTGGTTTTAGTCCTGGTTTAGACCTGGTTTAGATCTAGTTTAGACCTGGTTTTAGTCCTGGTTTAGACCTGGTTTAGATCTAGTTTAGACCTGGTTTAGTCCTAGACCTGGTTTAGTCCTGGTTTAGACCTGGTTTAGATCTAGTTTAGACCTGGTTTTAGTCCTGGTTTAGACCTGGTTTAGTCCTGGTTTTAGACCTGGTTTAGATCTAGTTTAGCCCAAAATGTGAAAACAGGAAAATACCTCTGTGTAATCCATTTATTTCAACAAAGTAACTGTAATCCAATTACCACTCACAGAAACAGTAACTGTAACTGAATACAGTTACTCATAATTTGTACTCTGATTACGTAACTCCGGTACATGTAATCTGTTACTCCCCAACACTGATAATAAATAAACTAAAATATAAAACAGAAACGCGGAACGTTCAGTGTCAACAAACACTTTCCCAGTCGGGTCTATTTCCCCGTCGGACTTCGTTACAATCGGCTTGTGTTCAGATTTTTTTCTACTACAAAATGCGTTTATTTCTCGTTTATTTATTTTATTACCGCGCTAATTTGACATCGACATAACAGCGGCGGTAGCGGAGGTTTATCGGAGCAAGATGTCACCGTAAAACGTCAAATTAGATCACGTCAATAGTGTTTTTTTTAGGCGGACACGCGCGTCTGTCTCGCCGCTTTATGCTACGTGTCCAGCGGCCAAGAGGAGCTCGACCTGCGCACCTCCCCATGGATCCTGACGCCGATTTTAAGCTTTTATTGTCCATTTAAAACGCTAAAATGCATCGCAGACGTTTTGTTGTTGTTAAGGGTGGATTGCGTTACGTTTGTGCAAAAAAAATACAGTGAATTATGTCACATTTAAATGCCCGTGAAACGTGAAAGAGCCGCGTCCAGACTCGTCCACCACATCTCCCTTCACCAAGATGATGTACTCGTCCAGAAGAAAGCCCGTGCTCTATTTCAAAGAGGAGAAAAGGTGAGTTTGCCTTTTTATTGGAGTTTTGAAAGGGTCACCGGTTCGTTTTGCCTGTGTGAAACCAAAACTTTTACTCAAATTCAATAAAAATAACAGTAACAAAGCAACCTGTAGATCTCCAACTCCTTCCAAATAACTCAACGAGGGATTTCTGAATTATACATATTGATGATGATGATAAATAACTCAAACTTGATTAATTACATGACTATTAGGCAAAGCAAGGGGTCATTCCACACCAAATCTCCTAATGTCCACGCTCTACATTTAACTTCCACTTATTGCCAGACACTAAACCAGGTCTAAACCAGGTCTAAACCCGGGTCTAAAACCAGGTCTCAAACCAGGTCTAAACCAGGCCTATAACCAGGACTAAACCAAGACCAAACCAGGACTAAACCAGGACTAAACCAGGATTAAAACCAGGTCCAAACCAGGTCTAAACCAGGTTTAAACCAGGACTAAAACCAGGTCTAAACCAGGACTGAAACCAGGTCTAAACCAGGACTAAACCAGGACTAAAACCAGGTCTAAACCAGGACTAAAACCAGGTCTAAATAAGGTCTAAACCCTGGCCCAAACCAGGTCTCAAACCAGGTCCAAACCAGGTCCAAACCAGGTCCAAACCAGGTCCAAACCAGGTCTAAAACCAGGACTAAAAACAGGTCTAAACCAGGTCTAAACCAGGTCTAAACCAGGTCTAAAACAGGTCTAAAACAGGTCTAAAACAGGATTTAACAGGACTAAATCATGCTGCGTGGACGTGTCTCCTCTTCTATCAATAATATTTTTAATTTGATTAAGTAAAGTCTGGGCTTTTTATTTTCTTTTAGCAGATAAAACATCTTATGTTACGATTTCCTCGTCTTTTCTTCTCTACAGCAAATCAAGTAATCTAAAGTATTCAGATTACGTTACTCACTTTAAGTAATTTAATGAATTACGTTACAAACTACATTTTGGGGTTTGTAATCTGTAATCTGTAGGGGAATACATTTTAAAAGTAAACTTCCCAACACTGCTAGGAGGTTCAGACACTTCCCAATAGAAAAAGTCCCAAATTTTAGCTCCCAACTCCTTATAGTTTTGTCATTAGAAAATATTTTGCCAACTCCGCCCTGACCTGTTTTGAGCAGAGTTTTCGAAGGAGCCACTTTCAGATTGTTGTATCTAAAAAACTATTTAAGGTCGGTTCTTCAAATTTTCAAGGGTTAAAATTTGGCAAACGTACTTGTAGAATATTTACTTTTAGACATGTGGTTTTACATCACATTTTGCGAAAATAAGGCAGAACGCCATCGCAAATGTTGGATATGTTAAAAACAGACATCTAGTCTTTCTAAAACAGTCCATTTTATGTTGGTGAGTGTTGTTATTTTTTTGGTATAACATTTATTTTGGGTCATTCCACGCCATTTCATCAAATTTCCAGAAAATCTCACGCGTCATGTTTTTAAAAAATTCAAAAAATTACCTTCTGGTTCCTTACTATCATGTACCAACCCTGTGAAATTTTAGTTATTTTCGTTTCGATATCTCCGTAAGTGTCACACATACAGGGCTGAAATTTTGTAGGCAGGGGCATTCGAAGATTTAACACACTTTACAGAACAAGAAATGCATTAAAATCACAATCAAAACGAATCAAAACATAAATAATCATCATAAAATTAAAAAGAGAAAGAGACATTCAATTGGAGAGAAAAGAGAAGACTGTGGAGTGAAAAAATAAAACTTATTAGCAGAGATGGAGACTTGCAATTCATTCACTATTTTGAGAACTTGAGACTTGACTTGATAAAATAGACAAAGACTTGGGACTCGACTCGGACTTGAGGCCTGTAACTTGAGAAGACTTGATACTTCTCTGAAAAAATATCTGTTTTTAGAAAATATTTTTCTCTTTACAGTTGATAAATGCTGTGTTTAATTTTACTGGAACAAGCTGGAACATGTCCCTCCCACTTCTCTGTTTGTTGTTTTGGTTGAAACTGAAGTACTGTGATGTGGTATCCTCGAAAGTACTACAGTAATATACAGAACAACAAAGTAAAACAGAGGGAACTACAGAGAACAGAGTCAAACTATTTGGCCCATTTGGTGCATATTTGACCCATGAGATCATGTCAAATATGTATTAGACCTGCCCACCGGCTGCAGATAAACTGTAGAGACATTTTGTTGGAGAAAGGCTGGGGATTGTAGAATATGTACTGGACACTTCATCCAAACAATACTCTGGTCAAAGAGTAAATTAGGACACCAGAACGTGTTTGGGAGCTTTAATGTCCTGTCTTCAGTCTTGTGAGCTGTCTGTTAATCTATCCTTTCATCTGAACTATCCTTTTGTCTGATTATCTATAAACACATTTAAATCATGCCAAAGATGTTCATTTTGTCTTCTTATATACTTTAGGGCCCAGTCAAGCAGAAGTAAACAGCAAGGCCAAAAATTCAAGTTAATGCATCTGATATAAAAATGTATTGAACAGATACATATGTACTCTAGTTTATGAAACTGTTTACCTTTTTTCTGTACCATTTTTGGTTCTAAAGTTCCATATGTTTTAAACAGACCATGTGTGAAACATGGAACAAAAATTATTTCCCAAATTTCAAAGACCTGAAAATCATGTAAATAATGGATGTATTTCATCATATCTTGTGTTATTCCATCTTTGAACTGTTGATGAAGGTACTTGATTTAAAAAAATAAATAAATAAATTTTTTAAATGATAAAAATTTGCTTGGAAGGACTGACATATTTTATAGAAATAGTTTCCTTTCATTTTGAAGTAATATTAAAGTTTTCAGAAGAAAAAAGCGACAAATTATGCAAAATCATGCACCTTCTACTTGTTTGCACAATTTTCCCTCCGTTACTTTTCCCTCCGTTACCATGACCTTTCTTAATAAAAAATCTCATGACTCAAAAAGTAAGAGGTTTTTCAACCTAATCTTGTACCATATGGTAGAAAACTATATGAAGCAAATATTCAAACCAGTTTGTTAAGGATATGTAAGTGAGAACCAAGAGTTATCACTGTTTGGATTTATTGCCCAATTAATCGATTAATCATGCCCATCCCTAGTCGATTAATCGATAATTGATCATTAAGAATTTCATCGATTACGTTAACCCGAATGTAGGTTGCTGTGTGTCGTGACCAAACAGGTCCGTACATGTGTCTCTGCATCAGAAGGAGCGAGACACAAACAGTGGGTCAGTCTGCAGTGTACCGAAGCACAAATGTGTATTTAACGATGATTTGTACAAGAAATTCCAGGCTTTCCGTTGCGTTCGGGACAAGTGTGAGTCCATGTGCACAGTGTATAAAGCAGCACATATGTTTCTGTGTCCAGTGGGAAAAAGTTTTACCAGGTGAGAGTCGCTCAATGTCGATGACGAGTCCCCACCTCCCTCCCCCCGTACGCTGTCCTGGTTTTGACAAACGCAAATCTGGTCACACTAACCTGTATTCACCTGAGTCATGTCTTTTAATCCGACAGAAATTTAACCACATCAGCGACACAAGAGCTGTAGTTTTATCTTCGATTAGTTTATGCAAATTAGCGATGCGGTTTTAAGTTTCGTTTCTGTGAGAGTTGAGCAAAACTGAATTAAACACATTATAATGTCAAACGGGCTGATGTGGCTCTAGAGTCGTTACGGTTTATATGCCGTAAAGTTGAATTTATTTATTGCAGATTAGTAGTGCAGATAGTAATAATAATGATGATTATTTTAATATAAAACGTTAATGATTAATCAATAATCGATCTTTAATTCTTCCGACGATTGATTAAGAAAATTTCATCCCTATACTGAACTAACAGTTACTGGGGAATTTACAACACATTTATTTATTTAAAAATATATATATTATTTTATATTATACTTTTCTAAATTCAGTGTTTAAAGCAAAACTATTACACATTTATTTTAATAAGAAAACATTTAACATTACATATCTCAAAAGAAGAGAAAACATGCAGATGTTGTTGAAATTTTTCAATAAATATTTAATTTAGTCCCAGTTTTTAATTTCAGCCTCTGTGAATTTGAGTTTTGACACCCTGAAATAGAACACGATTCTTCCATTTCAGCGCAGACTACATGACAAAATATCTGTTATTAAACACTTTTAAATCAGATTTTTTTTTCTGTTCTGACTGTAATGATTCACTCCAAGATCTTATCAAGACAAAGTAAAAGTATGAGGAACAGTAGAAGTAGAAGTATGAGGAACAGAAGAAATAAAACTATGAAGAACAGTAGAAGTAAAAGTATGAGGAACAGTAGAAGTAAAAGTATGAGGAACAGTAGAAGTAAAAGTATGAGGAACAGAAATAAAACTATGAAGAACAGTAGAAGTAAAAGTATGAGAAACAGTAGGAGTAAAAGTATGAGAAACAGTAGAAGTAAAAGTATGAGAAACAGTAGAAGTAAAAGTATGAGAAACAGTAAAAGTATGAGAAACAGAAATAAAACTATGAAGAACAGTAGAAGTAAAAGTATGAGAAACAGTAGGAGTAAAAGTATGAGAAACAGTAGAAGTAAAAGTATGAGAAACAGTAGAAGTAAAGTAAAAATGAGAAACAGTAAAAGTATGAGAAACAGAAATAAAACTATGAAGAACAGAAGAAGTAAAAGTATGAGGAAAAGCAGAAGTAAAAGTTTGCTGCTTGAAAAAAAAAACTTCCTTTAACGTTTCCGTTACTGACGACCAGCCTCTATTTATATCAAACAGGAACAAAAATCTGTCAAGAGCTAATACAAAGAGAGTTACAATTACAGCTAAAATATGAAATACATCTAATTATATTTATAAATTTTGCTCGTGTAAATGTGTGAAACTTAATCTCATTGTTGATCTTTGAAGGAGTGAACTGTCAAAAATGGACAAGAAGTGAGTAAAATAAACAAAAGTGCAAGTGCATGAACGTGTGTGGCTCCAAAACAAAGCTTAAAGTTGTATTGTGTAGCTTTTCTGGTGAATATCCTTTGCCTGAAATGTTCCACAGTTTGGCATTAAAGTGATCTGTGTTGCATTTATTGGATTACAGGTGTTTTTATTGCTCAAAAATGCGTTGCTTAACATTGAGCGACGAGAATTTCAAAATCAAAAACTGGGACATCCTCGGTTTGTGGTGATTGGTAATAATAAAATTATTATTAAACGAGTGCGTAATTAAGCTCAGTATAGTCACATTTTCTTCGTGTTTTGGTTGTTTTTAAGCAGCTTTTTTAAAATTTTACCTGAACAAATCTCAATGTTCATCTCTTTTTACAGTTGGCAGGTATAAAATTGTTCAAAAATAGAGACATCTTGGACATTTCTTGTATAAAACTGGGACAAATCAGTAGTTTTTGGATAAATCTGTTGGGACAGAGGGACACAAGACTCAAAACTGGGACTGTCCCGGGTAAATAGAGACGTCTTGGCTCTCAGGTTAAAATACATTCTTGCTTTGGGTGGACTCACCTCTTCACAAATCTACAAGTTTGGTTTTGTTTTTGGTTTTATGCTGCGTTAAAGAACTGTGTGGAAGATTCTGATTGGAAATTCCAGTGTCCCCAGATATGAGGTGGTACTGCTTCTATTACTACTACTACTGCTACTGCTACTGCTACTGCTACTACTACTAAACTACTACTACTATTACTACTACTACTATTACTACTACTGCTACTGCTATTACTACTGCTGCTACTACTAAAATACTACTACTACTACTGCTGCTACTGCTACTACTGCTACTACTACTACTACTACTACTACTACTACTACTACTGCTACTACTAATACTAATACTACTACTAACTAATACTAATATGAATGTAAATACTGATACTACTACTACTACTACTATTACTACTACTACTGCTACTACTACTACTGCTACTACTACTACTACTACTGCTACTACTACTGCTACTACTACTACTACTACTACTACTACTACTACTACTACTGCTACTACTACTACTACTACTACTACTACTACTACTACTACTACTACTACTACTACTACTGCTACTACTACTACTACTACTACTACTGTACTACTACTACTACTACTGCTACTACTACTACTACTACTACTACTACTACTACTGTACTACTACTACTACTGCTACTACTACTACTACTACTACTACTACTACTACTGACTACTACTACTACTACTACTACTACTACTACTACTACTACTACTACTACTACTACTACTACTACTGCTACTACTACTACTACTACTACTACTACTAACTACTACTACTACTGCTACTACTACTACTGCTACTACTACTACTAACTAGTACTACTACTACTAGTACTACTGCTACTACTGCTACTACTACTCCTAACTACTACTACTACTACTACTACTACTACTACTACTACTACTACTACTACTACTACTACTACTACTATTGCTGCTGCTACTACTACTAATACGACTACTAACTAATACTACTACTACTATTACTGTTGCTACCACTAATACTGATACTACTGATACTTCTACTTCTACTCATACTAATACTAATACTAATACTAATACTAATAATACTAATACTGATACTATTAATATTGTGATATTTTTGTTCACCCCAGTGATTAATACAATATACACAATGAAAAAAAGTTTAGTTTTTTTTTTTATTTATTTAATTTATTTATATGTTTATAGATTAATTAACTTAGTTTCATAAAGTGTATAATTCAGAGGAACTTTCCAGCCGATTTCCCTCAACTACAAAAACTTTTAACATCATGAACGAGTTGTTTATGTTATTCTCCAATCAGAAAGCAGAATGAGCATCACGTGACTCTCTCATTTCAAGGCTAAAGTCCAGTCTGTGTTTAAACCTAAAAAAAAAGGACGCTCGGTATTCCCAGAGCTCTCCCGTCCGTAATGCCACACTGCGGAACATTCCAGGCGAACAGATGTCATGGAGACGAGCAGGTGACGATCTCTCCCAACAGAAAACCACACCACGCACCTGAAGAGATTTGAGATTAAAACACTGATCGATGTTTTCAGCTTTTAACTTTGACTTAAACTATAAATATTTGTCGTGTAACAGAAATAATTGAGTTTACGTCTTGTTTTTCTCGAGAATTAAACTGTGTGAATGAGTAATATTTGTTTTTTTTAGCTGGTTTTGACTCAGTTTTATGCTTCACAACTAAACTGTAATTCATTTTAGACTAAAAACGCTATAATCTTTTTTGCATTTGAGCTTTTAACTTTGGCTTAAACTAATTTTTTTGTGGTGAAAATACATTTTGTTTTAACAGAAATAACCGAGTTTGAGCCGGTGTGTTTTGTTGTCTCGTTTAGCTTCACTGATTTGCAGCAAAATCTCTCTGTGACCTTGACAGAATCTTCACAAACTCTGGTTCATATCGGTTCATTTATCAGTTAAGGGCCAAAGGAGGCGCCCAAACCGGGTCAAAACCAAGGACTAAAACCAGCTCAAGTCTAGAATTAAACTAGAAGACAAAAAGCAGGACTAAAGCAGGACTAAAGCAAAACTAAACCAGGACTAAACCAGGAATAAAGCAGAATGAAACCAGGACTAAAACAAGACTAAAGCAAAACTAAAGCAGGACTAAAGCAGAATGAAACCAGGACTATAACAAGACTAAAGCAAAACTAAAGCAGGACTAAAGCAGGACTAAAGCAAAACTAAAGCAAAACTAAAGCAGGACTAAACCAGGACTAAACCAGGACTAAACCAGGACTAAACCAGAATGAAGCCAGGACTAAAGCAGGACTAAAGCAGGACTAAAGCAGGACTAAAGCAGGACTAAAGCTGGACTAAAGCTGGACTAAAGCAAAACTAAAGCAGAACGAAACCAGGACTAAAACAAGACTAAAGCTGGACTAAAGCTGGACTAAAGCTGGACTAAAGCTGGACTAAAGCTGGACTAAAGCTGGGCTAAAGCAAAACTAAAGCAAAACTAAAGCTGGACTAAACCAGGACGAAAGCAGAACGAAACCAGGACTAAAACAAGACTAAAGCAAAACTAAAGCAAAACTAAAGCAGGACTAAAGCAGAATGAAGCCAGGACTAAAGCTGGACTAAACCAGGACTAAAGCAGGACTAAAGCAAAACTAAAGCAAAACTAAAGCAGGACTAAAGCTGGACTAAAGCAGGACTAAAACAAGACTAAAGCAAAACTAAAGCAAAACTAAAGCAGGACTAAAGCAAAATGAAGCCAGGACTAAAGCTGGACTAAAGCAGGACTAAAGCAGGACTAAAGCAGACTAAAGCAAAACTAAAGCAGGACTAAAGAAAGTAGGACTAAAGCTGGACTAAACCAGGACTAAAGCAAAACTAAAGCAAAACTAAAGCAAAACTAAAGCAGGACTAAAACGGGTCTAAAACAGGACTAAAGCAGGGCTAAAGTTGGACTAAAACATTACTGGCCCGGGGCTGGACCAGGACTAAAACAAGGGAGTGGAGTAGGGATAGACCAGATAGACCACTACAGGTGAGGACCGGGACTGGATCAGGACTAAAATAGGACTGTACCAGGACTAAAGGAAGCCCCAAGCCGGGTCAAAACCAAAGACTAAAACCAGTTCAAGTCTAGAATTAAACTAGAAGAAGAAGATGAAGAAGACAAAACGTAGGGCTAAAGCGGGACTCAAGCAGAACTTAAACAGGACTTAAACAGGACTTAAACAGGACTTAAACAGGACTTAAACAGGACTTAAACAGGACTTAAACAGGGCGTCTCCAAGTTAAGGCCATGGAGCATTTTTTTGCACTTCAAAAGGAGTTCAATCAGTCCAGACCAGGACTAAATCAAGCACTAAACTTGATTGAAATGCATAAGAACTAAACCAGGACTAGACTTGGACTAGGCCAAGACTATACCTGGTTTTGTTACCAGTTACAGACAGTTTTATGTGGAGGCAGAAATGAATGAACCAAGACTAAACCAGATCCTGCCTCTCTCTCTCCTCTCTTCCCCCTTTCTCTCCTCTCCCCATGTCCCACTCTCTCCTCCTCTGCTCTCTTCTCTCTCTCCTCCTTCTCTCCTCCCCTCACCTCTCCTGTTTCTCTCTTCTCCTCCTCCCTCTCTCTCCTCTCCCCTTTCTCCTCTCTCCCTCTCTGCTCCACCTTTCCTCTTTCTCTCCCCCTCTCTCTTCTCTCTTCTTCTACTTTCTCCTCCCTAACTCTCTCTGTATCTCCTCCTATCTCTTTTTTCCTCTCCTCCCTCTCTCCCCCTTCCTCTCTCCTCCTCTCCTCCTCTCTCTCCTTCTTCTCTCCTCTCCTTCTCTCCACCTCTTTCCTCTCTCTCCTCTCTCTCTCTCTCTCTCCTCTCTCTCCTCTCTCCTCTCTTCTCTCCTCTTCTCTCCCCTCCTTCCCTCTCTCCCTTTCTCCTTTTCTCCTCTCTCTCTCCTCCTCTCATCCCTATCTCTCTCTCCTCTCTCTCCTCTCCTCTCTCTCTCTCTCTCTCTCTCTCCTTCTTCTCCTTCCTCCTTCTCCCTTTTCTCTCTCTCCTCTCTCTCCTCTTTCTCCTCTCTCTCCTCTTTCTCCTCTTTCTCTCCTTCTCTCCTCTTCTTTCTTCTCTTCCCTCTCTCTCCTCTTCTCCTCTCTCTTCTCTCTCCCTCTCTCTCCTCTCTTCTCTCTCCTCTCTCCTCCTCCTCTCTCTTCTCCTCCCTCTCCTCTCTCTCCTCTCTCTCCTCTTTCTCTCCTCTCTCCTCTCTCTCTCTCTCCTCTCTCTCTCTCTCCTCTCTCTCTCTCTCTCTCTCTCCTCTTTCTCCTCTCTTTCTCTCCTCTCTCCTCTCCTTTCTTCTCTTCCCTCTCTCCTCTCTCTCTCTCTTTCTCTCCTCTCTCCTCTTCTTTCTTCTCTTCCCTCTCTCCTCTCTTTCTCTCCTCTCCTCCTCTCCTTTCTTCTCCTCCCTCTCTCCTCAGGTTTCCGTGGAGTTCCTGGCGTTGTTCCCGCTGTAGTGTTTTCCAGCTCTTCGGTCTGTGTGTTTTCCTCGTGCTGGTGTCTCTCCTGTGGCTCCAGCTCACCTGTTCTGGAGACATGTCCTCGTCCCAGCGCTCGTCGGCCCCGTGCCCGCCCCCGGCCCCGTGTCCGCACCGGGTCCCGGGACCGGAGCCGGACCCGAGCGGCTGGGGCCCGCACAAACTGGCCCTGATCGTTCCGTTCAGGGAGCGGTTCGAGGAGCTGCTCGTCTTTGTGCCGTTCATGCACAGTTTCCTCAACAAGAAGAAAATCAGACACAAGATCCTCATCGTCAACCAGCTCGACCACTACAGGTCAGGACCAGGACTAAAACAAGACTAAAACAGAACTGAACCAGCTCGACCACTACAGGTCAGGACCAGGACCAGGACAAGACTAAAACAGGACTGAACCAGCTCGACCACTACAGGTCAGGACTGGGACTGGACCAGGACTAAAACAGGACTAAAACAAGACTGAACCAGCTCGACCACTACAGGTCAGGACTGGGACTGGACCAGGACTAAAACAGGACTAAAACAAGACTGAACCAGCTCGACCACTACAGGTCAGGACCAGGACCAGGACTAAACAGGACTAAAACAGGACTGAACCAGCTCGACCACTACAGGTCAGGACCAGGACCAGGACCAGGACTAAAACAGGACTGAACCAGCTCGACCACTACAGGTCAGGACTGGGACTGGACCAGGACTAAAACAGGACTAAAACAGGACTAAAACAGGACTAAAACAGGACTAAAACAGGACTAAAACAACTTGACCACTGCAGGTCAGGACCAGGACCAGGGCTGGACCAGGACTGGACCAGGACTAAAACAGGACTGAACCAGCTCGACCAGGACCAGGACCAGGACTAAAACAGGACTAAAACAGGACTAAAACAGGACTAAAACAGGACTGAACTACGACTAAAACAGGACTGGACCAGCTCGACCACTACAGGTCAGGACTGGGACTGGACCAGGACCAAAACAGGACTAAAACAAGACTAAAACAACTCGACCACTGCAGGTCAGGACCAGGACCAGGACTGAACCAGGACTGATTCAGGACTGAACCAGCTCGAGCACTACACGTCAGGACCAGGACCAGAACTGGACCGGGACCTGGACAAAAACAGGACTAGAACAGGACTAGAACAGGACTAGAACAGGACTAGAACAGGACTAGAACAGGACTAGAACAGGACTAGAACAGCTCAACCACTACAGGTCAGGACCCGGACCGGGACTAAAACAGGACTAAACCAGGACTAAAACAGATCCACCACTACAGGTGAGGACCCGGACTGGGACTGGACCAGGACTAAAATAGGACTTAAGCAGGGATAGACTTAATAAATCACTACAGGAGAGGACTGGAACTAGACTAAAGCAGGACTAAAGCAGGACTGGACCAGGACTGGGACTGGACAAGGGACTGAATCGGGACAAAACCAGGAATAGACCAGATAGACTATTGCAGGCAAAGACTAGTACTGGACCAGGACTAAATCAGGGACAACTGAATCAGGAACTGAACCAGGACTGAACCAGGACCAGACCTAAAGTATTCTGTCCTAAAGTGGCGTCTTGTTGCCCGCAGGTTTAACCGCGCCTCCCTGATAAACGTGGGTTACCTGGAGAGCGGTAACGACACCGACTACTTGGCCATGCACGACGTGGACCTGCTGCCCCTTAACGACGCCCTCGACTACGGTTTCCCCAGTGACGGACCCTTCCACGTCGCGTCTCCGGAGCTGCACCCTCTGTACCACTACAAGACCTACGTGGGAGGAATCCTACTGCTCACCAAGAAGCACTACAAGATGGTGAGTACTACAAAGACTACTACTACTACTACTACTACTACTACTACTATACTGTGGTACTGTGTTACTGTGATTCTGTGATACTACTATCTTTTAAAGTAAATATTGGTGTTGATGTTTTGTCTGGAAAAGGGAAAAGGGGGCAGAAAACATAAGATGACTTTTCTTTCTGCTCCTTTTCTTTCATTTCTCGTAAGTTTGATGTTGTGACACTGTTAATGTCTTTTTATACTTTATGAATGAAATAAACAAACAAATAAATGGACATTGCTCACCTGCCGTGTTCCAAAAAAACAGAGAGCGTTCTGTTGAACATATCCATTAATTCTGTCACTTTCTATTGAAAAACATTGCCCCTCTCTCTGTAATTGCTGCTGTCAAGCTTGTTGTTTTGGTCTTAAAATGTTCATATTAACCCACTCTACATGATGCTGGTGGTTTTATTTTTGTCTGTAAATCATGATTAAAACATTGGGCCTCATTCATGAAGCATTCTTACAAACAAATTTGTACCTTTTGGCTTTTTTTGGCATTCACAAAATGTTTTTTAACTGAAAATGTTCACAAAACCAGTCAGTCAGGAGCATTCGTAAGAACAAAAATTCTTCAGTTTTAGAATATTATTACTCTGATAATGCAACAAAATATTCTAATGGCCATACCAGTTTGTCAAAGCCTAATCCCGTCAGATCTCAGAAGCTCAGCAGGGCCGGGCCTGGGTAGTACTTGGATGGGAGACACTGGAAATTCCAGGTGCCACAGGAGGGCACCAGTGGCAAAACTGTTGTTGTGTCCTTAGGCAAGACACTTCACCCACATTGCCTAGTATGAAAGTGGTGTGTGTGTGAGTGATGGTGGTGGTCGGAGGGGCCGATGGTGCAGATTGGCAGCCTTACGTCCGTCAATCTGCCCCAGGGCAGCTGTGGCTACAATAGTAGCTTACCACCACTGAGTGTGGAGTGACTGAATAATGATCTGTAAAGCGCTTTGGGTATCTTGAAAGGCGCTGTATAAATGCAATGATTAACAAAAAATGAATGAATTAATTAATTCCCCCATGATTGTAAGTTATATATTTTCTTCAATTATTTCCTATAAACATATTACTGTGTGATCCAATCACATTTATGAGGTGTTTTCTAGAGCTTGTGTCTCTTAGGTCTAACAGATTTTCTCCAGGCTGCAGTGTTTCTCAGTCTGTCCCAGCCCCAGTGCCTCCATATGGATCTCTGTCACAGCCCTGGGTCTGGTCACCGCACTTGACTCTAAACCAACATCACCCCCTTCACCCCCCGACCCCCCATGACCAGAGCGCACTCTTATGCACCTCCACCCCAGCCCCCCTCCCTCACTATTTACTATTTATGTATTTGTCTGCGGTCTCAGAAAGTGTGATAAAAGCATTAAAAGCGCCTGTTTATTTCAATAAGTTTATGACTTAAATATCCCTCCCTGTGTGTGCTCATGTGAGTTTGGACATTTGAAATCACAGATGAAGCTGTAGTAGTAGTAGTTTGTAGACGCTGCACCTGACTTCCTAAGACTTCACGAGTCATAATACCAAACCCATATTGGCCATATTTGAAAGTTCAGAGGGCGTTTCCTGACAAATACAAATACATTTTTATGTAAATGAAATGTAATGAGTGTGGTGGTGTTGGTAGCTGAACTTGTGTTTTGTCCGTTTCAGTGTAACGGCATGTCCAACCGCTTCTGGGGCTGGGGGAGAGAGGACGACGAGTTCTACAGACGTCTGAAGAAAGCCGACCTGCAGGTGACAAAAATATTAAAGTTTAAAGAGCCCAATGTTACTCTGTTTTCTGAGCTGTGTTACAATGTTACCACCTCATCAAAAACAGACCTGGAGTTGTGTTTTGTTTATTTTACACATGTTTAACACACAAACCCTGCATATTTAGGCTGAGTTCTTCTAATACAGGAAGTGCTTCACTGTGTTTTTAAACTCCATACACCTTCACTAGAAATCATTTAGCCCTGGAATTGTCAATCTCTACTGAACTAAAGGTAAAACGTGAATGAAACAAAACACAACTCCAGGTCTGTTTTTGATAAGATAACAACATTATAATATGACTTAAAGTTCACAAGAGTAAGTTTTATGTAATATAGGACCTTTCGTTTTACATCTTTCTTTAGTTTTGTTTTTGTTGTTGTTTGTTCAGCTGTACCGGCCGACCGGGATCACCACGGGCTACAAAACTTTTCAGCACATCCACGACCCGGCCTGGAGGAAGAGGGACCAGAAGAGAGTCGCAACACAGAAACAGGTACCAGATTAACTTTTATTTTATCTTATCTTAATTTATCTTATCTTATTTAATTTTATTTGTATGTAATTTTATTTAATATTATTTTAGTTATTTTTATATATTTTTTAAATTTTATGGTTTATTTATTTATAGTTTTTTTTTTTTTTTTTTGTATTTATTTATTTATTTTTAAAGGACATGACTCAGTGGAATATGTGTGAAAATCAGTTCAAGACCAGTAAGCACAACCATAATTAATACTTAAGTCGATTTTTGAGAAAATTAAGAGATTTTAAGTGCACCTTATAGTCCGAAAAATACGGTACAATACATGTGGATGCATTGTTTTCAGTCAATACAGCGTTTTCAAAACAATAAAAACAAAAGTCCTTCTCATATAAAACTTCAGTCACAAGTCAGTTTTTCAGTTAGTCTCACCTTTTTGTTGAAAATCAAACTCCTAAACAGGACGATGAACGCTCAGACTGATCACAGGCGCCTGAAAATGTGCTGTTTAAATCCATTTTGTATTTTTCTGGAGTAAAAACTAAAAACAAAGCGGGTATGTATGCATTGTGTCATCATTGTAACGGCTGAATATTCTGCCATAGATGCACATGCACAGAACCCCCAAGCGCGGTGTAGCCACAAAGTATCAACCAGTTTTCGTTAATACATAAAACGTCCGACTTTTTGTGTCCAGGAGCAGTTTAAAGTGGACCCGGACGGCGGCCTCTCCAACCTCATGTACTCTGTGGAGTCCCAACAGGAAATGACCATAAATGGAGCTCCGTGTACGATCATCAACACCAAACTAGAGTGCGACCAGGAGAAAACGCCCTGGTGCCTTCTGGGATAGACTCACATTACCTCGGCATTCTGCGTAAACTCCACAGACCTCCTCAGCCTGGAAGCATGGGACAGAACTGCAGAGAAGAATGAGAAAGTAGAATGGACTTTCCAATGTTTACCTGTAGTACGGCGGCCATCTTGTGACTGTAGGGCATAATTATGGATCTATAGGCGAGTTTCAGCTGACGTCATTGTTATTAAAAGCCCGCGTTGCATGCTGGGAAATATTTTGGTCGGAGGCAAGAAACACGATAGCGGTCAAACACAGTGCGTAACCTCGTGTATTTATCCCCAATAATGGTAAATTCCTGCCGCATTATCGGATGCACAAATAGAAGCACGGAAGAAGGAAAATGTCTTTTTCGTATTCCGAGTGAAAAGAACCGCTAACGGTGAATTAAATGGCTTTCAAACATTCGCAGAGCAAACGTAGAAGATCCTAGCAAACCGTGGACTCCAACAAGTTCAACGACACATCGAGACTCTTGGAGGTTTTGATCTTTTCTGCTGTGAATGGCCCAGGAGTTTCCACCAAGTCATTGTGGATATCGCCGAAGTGAATATTTGTCCAGGTAGTTGGCGATTCTGACCAGAAATTTGGTTTGGTCCACCTTTTGTCGGGGTTGAAAAGGATGATTTGGCGTCCATCGATGCTTATGACTAATTTCTGGTCAAATGGTCTTGGGTCCTCTGCCGTTAGAGTGGATAAATAACCGGGATCAATACCCTTTACGTGCTTTCTCGCTCTGTCCGTCATGTTGAATTAGTGTTTCTTGCCGCCGACCAAAATAATTCTCAGCATGCAACGCACGCTTTTGTCAACAATGAAACTCGCCTATACTTCCCAAAAAACATGTAACAGGAGAAACTAGAGTAAATGGCGTCCATCTTGTGACTGTAGGGCGTACTTATAGATCTATAATTCCATGGTTTTACCGTATACACAGGCAAGAAGAGAAACTAGAGTGGATTTTCCAATGGTCACCTACAGTACGACCGCCATCTTGTGACTGTAAGGCTTACTGCTGGATCTGTACTTCCCTAGTTTTACCCTAGACACAGGCAAGTCTAGAGTTTACTTTCCAATAACGGCCATGTTGTGACTGTAGGTTTGACTCATGGCCCTATACTTCCATCGTCGTCTACTCTATACACTTGTAAGAAGAGAAATTAGAGTTGTATGGCAGCCATCTTGTGACTGTAGGTTTTACCTCATAAACATGTCAACAAAATGTTAGCTACTGTGTCTTTTATAATCTCTAATTGCAACAGCAGTAAGATCTCTTATTCAGGGATACAACAACTATTTTAGGCAAGATTTACCAACGGTACCAAGACTTATATCATTTATGTTTTATATTTTTCATCTTTGTTTAATTGAGCAGCCTCTTGTTTACAAGTTTTACACTATCCTTAACTGACAAGCGCACATTTAAGAACTTTAACTATGGAAGATAATTTGTCCCATCACATTTTGAATTTTAAATACGACCGAATTTCTCACTTTGAATTTTTTAACTCTGAAAAAAGATGTTTGAATTGTTTTTATTCTGAATTTTAGTGGCTGAAATTTGAAGTTTACTTTCAATTCAAAATAAACAAAAAAAATCACCACAGATATTTTCAAGTCCTCCAGTTCACCAGTCGAAATTCAGAACGTAAAATTCACAGTGAAAAATTTCACAGCAAAAATCCAAGATGCCAAGGCAGAAGCAGTCGATCATGTGAGCGAGGAGGACGGAGGTTGTTTCCTATTGGCTGTTCTCATCTGTGGGCGGGTTTTACACTTAACAAATCAAAAAGATGAGGCTAATTTTGACCAATCAGATCGCGTCGCCGCAACATCTCCTGTTTCTTACTAAGTTAGATCGGTTCACTTCGGATTGATTGCTTCTGCCTTGGCATCTCGGATCTTTATTGTAAATTTTCATCACTGCAAATTTTACACTCTGATTTTTGATTGTTGAATTTGAAGGCTTGAAAATATTTGTGCTGAATATTTAAAAGGTGATTTATTTATTTATTTTTTTATATATATTGAATTTTATACACTGAATTATATTTATGCTGAATTTTTGTTTGCTGAAATTTTAAGTGTACATTTTCAAACATTTTTTTCAGAGTAAAAAAATCAAAGTGAGAAATTCAACAGCATTTAAAATTCAAAATCTGATGAAACAAATTATCTTCCATATTTAACTAGGTAAAAGTCATTCATTATCTCAAAACATTACGTCCTACCGTCACAAGATGGCGCTGTGTCCACGTCTGTGTCCCCTGCAGCGTCGTACTCCTCTCTGCCTCGACCCCGCTGCGTTCTGGGAAGCATCTAAGGACAGAGCGACTAAAGAAAAATGAGAATACAGAATCTCCACGAAAGACTACAACCACAACGGACTACAAATGCAATGCCTTGTGGGTAAAAATGTCTACAACAAGCGCGAACTCTATTGAGACGCCGTTTTTGGATTTCTGAAAGGATCTGAAATGCAACCAGGACAAAAACTGTGACTTTTGAACTTCAATAACTGTATTTCTATCTGGTTTTAAACTACTGGATATTATTGGAAAGATAATTTAAGTATATTAAAAGGTCTATATTACGCTTTTTTCTGATCTGTGTTATTTATAATGTTGTTTCCTCGTCACAAACAGACCTGGAGTTGTGTTTTTTTGGTTTAATTCACACATTTAACACACAAACTCTGCAGATTTATCGATTTTCAGCCCTGGAATCGCCAAAAGGAGCCATTAAAACCACCACTTCATGACATCAAAAGGTGGAACAGAGCATTTTGAGGTTTGGAGATGTGGACAGGCTAAAAATAAACGATTATTCCAAACAAAACACAACTCCGGGTTTGTTTTTGAGGAGGTAACAACATTATAACATGGATTAAATCTCTCAAAAGTCAATTTTGCGTAATATAGGACCTTTTAAGTGTTTTCGGTTGTTGCTTTTTTATGATTTTGAAAAGTTTCTGGAACGTTTGTGGTCTGGACGATGGACACGGAGCAAAAGTAGCATGGTTCAAAGACTGTCACACAAAATTATTATTGTTTTTATTTTATTTTTGTTACATTTTGTGTTAAGAAGCCAAAAATGCTGTGGATTGCAGTGTTTTTTTTTGGGCAGGGAGTTACTTCTCAAGAGTGCAATTTTACCATGGAGGTTTGAGTTGAGATTAGGGCTGCACGATATGAAAAATATTGCGATTTTTCAATGTACTGCAAAAGGTAATGGTTCCAGAAGTAGATTTTCCCGCAGACTTTTAAAAAAAAATGTAAATATTAAACTTTCAAGGGTCCATATTATTCCTCATCACAAACAGAACTGGAGTTTTTGTTTTTTTTAATTTTCTTGCTATATAATTTATTGCAGCAGCCATTATTGCGATTTTGATATTTTTTCGATATATCGTGCAGCTCTAGTTGAGATTAAAAGTTTACTCACATTAAAACAAGCTGAACTTTTTTACTTTTAGCACAAATATTACCGCAAATTCTGAGTAATTCTACAGGTTTGAAAATGACAAAAGAAACATAACTTACCAGGCTTTTAATGACTATGCGCTTGTTTCCGTGGAGATGTTATTGCTTTGCCTGAAATGTTCCTCAGTGTGACATTAAGCTCGTCTGTCTCCGTGGAGACAAGCAGGTCAGATCTGTGGAGAAGCGACCTCTTTCACAGTAACAATGTGTAAAAAAATGTCTAAAATCTCCATGGAAACGAGCAAGCGGCAAACCCTCTGACTAGAAGTCGTTTCTCGATCTCTTTTGATTCGCTGCCTTTTGTTTTCTATCGCAAAATGAAGCTGTCTTTTTAAGTGTCAGCTAAAAACGGTTATTTAAGAGTCAATTTGATGCGGCCAAAGATACAAACTCCAGCCAATAGGGGGCAGTAAGCAGCTTTTCTAATACAACTTTTTCACAACGGTCGGAAATGTCCCACTTTAGGTTTGCAGAATTTCCGGTTAATGGTTTTCTGTGGTAAAATGTGTGTAAATGTGTGTCGTTTTCTCCAGCAGCTTCATAAATCTGCCCCATCACCAAATCTTCAACCAACAAGGTCCACAAATGATAAACATTCTAACATGAAGAATTTATCCACAACTATCAATGTAAGAAAGACGAACACTTTAAGGCGAACAATGATGAGCATTAGTGACACACTGAACAAAACTAATGTTATGGTCATGAATAAAACAGAAGTAGCTTGAAAACTCAGACTAATTGTAGAATTAAAATTAAAATGAGATTTTACGATGTTGATATTGGCATAGACAGAGATTTGTGCAGTTCAAGTGCGAGACACCTCTAGGACACCATCCATCCATTTTTCTTCCTCTTTTCCGGGGGCTGGGTCTAAGCAGGGATCCCCAGACTCCCTTCACCCCGGACACTTCCTCCAGCTCCTCCGGGGGGACCCCAAGGTGTTCCCAGGCCAGTCCAGAGACACAGTCCCTCTAGTGCTGGGGTCTCCAACCTGTAGCTCTGGTGCTCTCCACACCTTATGTCTCGCCAAGGGATTTCTGAATAAGATAAGATAAGATAAGATATGCCTTTATTAGTCCCACAGTGGGGAAATTCCAGTGTTGCAACGCGCAATTTCAGAACAGCAGGAAAAGGTAACATACAATAAAACAGATAATAAATAATAGCTTAAAAATAATTTAAAAATAGACTTAAAAATAATCCGAATTAAATGTATTGTGCTGAAAAACTCAAATTTGATTAATTAAATGGCTACTACCACATGGTTTGTTTTTTATAGCCATCTAACTGTACCCATCTAAGGCCATGGATCTTATATTTACTCAATTTCTTGTGACCACTAAAATGAGTAGCTCTGTGGCATTTTGGTTTTGTTAAAGAGCTCACCGGAGGAAAAAAGGTTTGGAGACCCCTGCTCTAGTGTGTCCTGAGTCTTCCCCGGGGCCTCCTCACGGTGGGACATGCCCGGAACACCTCCCGAGGAAGGCGTCCAGGAGGCATCAGAACAGATGCCCGAACCTCAGCTGCTCCTCTCGACGTGAAGGAGCAGCGTCTCTACTCCGAGCTCCTCCCACGTGTGACTGAACTCCTCACCCTATCTCTAAGGGAGCGCCCAGACACCCTGCGGAGGAAACTCATCTCGGCCGCAATCTCGTCCTTTCGGTCATTACCCAGAGCTCATGACCATAGGTGAAGGGAGGAACAAAGACTGACGGAAAAATCGAGAGCTTCACTTTTTGGCTGAGCTCTTCATCTCTAGGACACCATAACATTACTTTTGCTCAGTAGTTCACCAATTCTAGTCTTTATTTGCCTTAAAGCTTTCGTCTTTCTTACCTCGATAGTTGTGGATAAATTCTTCATGAAGAATGTTTATCCTTTGTGGACCTTGTTGGTTGAAGATTTGGTGATGGGGCAGATTTATAAAGCCGGTGGAGAAAACACCAGATATTTACACAAATATTTTACCACAGAAAACCATTAACCGCATCAATAAACTAATAAACCTAAAGCGGGAAACTTCCATCCATTGTGAAAAAGGTTTATATCTCCATTCATGCTTTTATTTAGTGAACTTGTGTTTGTTTAGATTGTGAGGTTCAACTCTGTCTGACCCATGATTCACTCACACACTCTCTGCTCGTGTGTCTGTGCAGGAAGCAGCGATCACCAGTTTGAATAAATCCAAAAAGCCCCTCACTCATGTCTCTGAGAAAATTAGAACAAAAACAATTGAGTTTGACCGACTGTAAGAGTCAGAGAATCTACGAAACTGAAATTCTGAAGGATGTTTCGTTATGCAGTTTTTAGCTGGTGATTTAGACCTGGTTTAATCCTGGTTTAGACCTGGTTTAGACCTGGTTAGACCTGGTTTAGACCAATTATGAAATGTTATGCAATGTATTATTGAGATTTTTTACTGTTTATTTTGTTTAAAGTGCCTATGACCGGTTGGATTACTCATTTTACACAAACTATTTTAAAGATGCATTGTGTAACTTTTCTAGTAGAGGGTCCATCACCTGCTTGTTTCTATGGAGATATCATTGCTCTGCTTGGAATGTTCCACAGTATGACATTAAACAGCTCAACCTTTCATACGATTTATAATCTTAAAGCTCAAAAATACCTAGAAAAACAGGCATTCTGACTGTGAGCAAGGTCGCCTCTCCACAGATCTGACCTGTAACTCTGTCTAGTTTGGTCTCCCTGATGATAGAAAAGTTTAAAAAAGCAAATTTGACAAACCCTCCACCAGAAAAGTTACACAATGCACCTTTAAAGATCATTATATGTAAAGTTTTACAAAAAATTATCAAATTTTTTAGGTTTCAGATTTTACTTCCCTCACATCGCACTTGGGAATTCCAGCTGTTACCTAGCAACCATGGACCAAAACTCCTCGAGTGTATGCAGAAATGAATATTTGATAACTAAAAATGTAAGAAAACGCCTTTATTTAGTTGAAAAAATGTTTAAAATGTGTTTATTTTGTGTAAATTGTATCAGACTTTGGGACATTTCTCTCAAATCAAACTACATCTGTAATTTTCAACACTTTTTTTTTTACTTTTCTTCACAAATTTCATCTTGATTTGCCTAAAACTATAATTTATATTTACAACAGGTATTATAGAACCAAATTAAATCCAAATTGGAACTCGTCAGAACTTGTCATGCGCACTTTAAGTTGTATTTTCGATCGTTTCGTTGTCGTTTTTATTTAAGAGTCTGTCACCAAATGTTTGTGTGTGTGGATCGAGCCAAATGAGACGAGTTTTGGAGTGAAACTGGAGCGTCGAGGTTGATAACAAATAAAGTTTTTTTGTTTTTTTTTTTTTTTTAATTCTGCTGATTTGAAATTTTTTTACAAGGATTTACCAGATTTTTCTCCATGTCTTTGAGGAGGTACCAGCATTCTAAGATGACTTAAAGCTGCATTGTGTAACTTTTCATCATCTGCCGGTTTCTACGGACATGTCATTCACTCCAACTCTGCCCGAAATGTTCCGCAGTGTGACTTTAAGCAGCTCTACTTTACATTTATTTCAACTACAGGTGGTTTTAGAGCTCAAAAATACCTAGAAAAACAAACGTTCTGACTGTGAGCGGGGGTCGCCTCTCCACAGATCTGACCTGTAACTTGGTCTGGTTCGGTCTCCGTGAAGACAGACGGACGGACCCTCCTCCAGAAAAGTTACAAAATGCGTCTTTAAATCTCACAAGAGTCAATTTTGTGTAATTTGGGAACTTTAGACTGTCCGAAAAATGTCATCCTTGTTCATAAATTTGGAGAATTGATGACAAAAACAGTGGGATTTGTTTTTGTTTTTGGTTTTTTTCAACTTTTATTTACCAACTTTTAACCAACTATTCAACAAAAATTCATTGTGGGAAACCCTGTCACACCCAGTTCCAAAGACAAGATCATTTAGGCCGATACTTTAAAGGTTAAGTCCCGTTATAATGTCGTTACCTCCTCAAAATCACAAAAACAAACCTGAAGGGTCCGTGTACCATTTGCTCTTTTGAATTTAAATTAATAGCAAAAAAAAAAAAAAGATAAAGTGGGAAAACAGTTTGTTATTTCATTATTCCGTTTTGGTGTCAACCAAAGAAACATATTTTGACCTCTATTTCCAAATTTTGATTTAAAAGTTTATTTCAAATTACAGCAATCTAAAAAACAGTCTCAGTGCCGTTTTAATTTTGATATTTTATTCTCTCTGGTTGATTTGCCCATTCATGTTTAGTCCTGGTTTAGTTCTGGTTTAGTCCAGGTTTAGTCCTGGAGATCATTCATGTTTAGTCCTGATTTAGTCCTGGTTTAGTCCTGGTTTAGTCCTGGAGATCATTCATGTTTAGTCCTGGTTTAGTCCTGGTTTAGTCCTGGTTTAGTCCTGGAGATCACTCATGTTTAGTTCTGGTTTAGTCTTGGTTTAATCCTGGTTTAGTTCTGGTTTAGTCCTGGTTTAGTCCTATAGATCATTCATGTAGTGGTCCTGGTTTAGTCCAGGTTTAGTTCTGGTTTAGTCCTTGTTTAGTATTTCTTTAGTCCTACAGATCACTTATGTTTAGTCCTGGTTTAGTTCTGGTTTAGTCCAGGTTTAG